GACCAAGCAAAAGGCATTGTAGATCTTGAGTTTAAACAACTTCTAGGCTTCTAGGAAGTGTAGAAACTATGCATATGTTATTATTACTATTATCAAAATTATCATTATTATTATTATTTTAAATAGTATTGCCATTATTATTATTAATATTATTATTATATATATATATCTTCATATATATATATATATTCATATATATATATATCTTCATATATATATATATATCTTCATATATATATATATATCTTCATATATATATATATATCCCGATATATCCCCAATGAAAGCGATCGGACACAAGCCACTATTAGACTACCGATCCCACTATCGGTTTACTCAGTATTTTTGGATAGGATCGTCAAATGGCCGCACGAAAATTTCCCAAGAACATCAACCAAGACGTTATAGCAAACCGGTGCGTTCAGAAACGTCAGGTTTCGAAGCTTGTAGCAGCTTGTTCTACTAAACCAAATGTTGCCAAAAAACTTGATAGAACGCGTGTGCATCACTATTGAATGATCAGGTGCTGTTGTAAGGTGTCAAGATGTTTCAAGTCATGCTAAAGATTGCATGTCTATATAATTATATATATATATCCTAAAATAATCTAAAATAGGGGTACCCCAAATCATCCATTTTAATGGAATTTTCTCTTATAAACCAACGATTTTGGAGAAACTGCACATTCACGAGGTTAAAAAACTCCCAAACCCAGTTGTCCTGGTACGGCCCATCTTTTCCAAGTACCTCGTGTCACCGTGTCACCCGAAAAGTCTTCCGGGTCGAGGGGGAATAGCTTTTTCACAAAAGGGTGAACACAAAAACATATTGCTGTGGGTCAAATGGAGATTTTTCCAAACGCAAAAATTCAAATATCATTAGTTATAGAAAACCTCCCAACACAACCAAAATTATCCTCCTAGTAATCAAACATGGCATTGGAAAATCTCCCATTTGGTGCGATAAAAAAACCTATTGGAACTTTTTAGTGACTTCCCGCCACGCCATGTTTGATTCTCGAAGCTAATCCAAAAGGTGGTTTCAACCCACCTGAAAAAAATTGGTTCGTCACACATGACTGGGGATGGTTTGGATCCCACACATATATATATATATATACCCTCTGGTAATTTAACATAGCTATTGAAAATCACCATGCTATTAATGGGAAAATCCACTATAAATGGTCATTTTCAATAGCTACGTTAAATTACCAGAGGGTATATATTAATAACTGGTTGGTGGTATACCTACCCCTCTGAAAAATCATGGAGTTAACGTCAGTTGGGATGATGATTCCATTCCCAAATGAATGGAAAGTCATAAAAATCCATGGTTCCAAACCACCAACCAGTATATAATATATATATATATCATATATCCCATCAAATATCCCTACTATGGTTGGCTATAAATCCCATATATTATGGAAACATCAAAGTCATGTTCCAAACCACCAACCAGAATTTCATCGAAATTCAGGGATGTTCTCCAAAAGAAGTGAAATGACAGCGAGGATGCGACGAACAACTTCAACCCAGAAACCATTGATGCAATTCCTTCCAATTCCGCTTCATCTGATTCACGTACCACTCCTGATGCTGCGGGATGACCCAAGGATGGGACAGCAAAGGACCTTACATTTATGGGACTGCTTCGGACCCATTGACACCGTTGGTGGGAAGACTCAAATGGATCTGGGGACAACTTTCCCATGGAAACGAGCAAACCGTTTAGACCAAGGAAATTCATTGCGATCAGTTCGGGAACTTCTTCCTAGATCTGAACCAGCCGAGACGCCCGGATTGTCTTGATCCTCAGACGGCGAGTGTCTTGGATACTTTGCTGTGCTGGACAGCATACTCTTCCATATGGCTGAAGCAAACAAGCTGCTAAATCAAGATTTACTTGGGAATAGTGTCAAGACATTCAAGAGACTGGTAAAAGAAATGGGAATTCCATGATCCTAAATTGGAGCTACTGTACCATATTTTTGGCCATATTTTGTGGGGATATTCCCTTACATAGGCCTAAAAAATAGGCCTTATATACGGTAGGTACCTCCAATTTAGGATCCTGAAATGGCCAGTGATTAAAAGAAATATCTACATCTCATAATGGAAAGCGAGCGATCTGAAAGAAACGTTCAGTTGTGGAAAATTCAGGAGTAATGCACCGCCTGATCATATCTCTGTCAGGCATCAACTCCTGCCAAAAACGCCCAGAAAAATCCAAATATGGATGCCCCAAACCATTGGTTTTCCCATTCATAATAACCAAATTTGGATGATTTTGGGGGAACCCTCAGTTTAGGAAACCTACATGTGGATTTGTCTCAATGCACGAGAAACCCTTCTGTTTTTTACTGACCTAGATTTGGAGAACCCACCATTTCTGGATAATCCAGGGAAACCATTGGTTTTCCACATATAGGTTTTGTTTACTCCATGGTAACTTACCTGGAATCCTGGAAATGTCATGCGATATTGAACGCCTCAGCTTCCCGTTGTGCATCTCAGCGACCCTTTGCAGGTTGTGAGGTGTTTGTACCACCAAAGCCCATTGTCACGTGCCATCCTCACCATAGATTGGGCTGAAGCATTTGCTCGGGCTTGGTGGAGTTCTTTAGAAAAAATGTTGGCAACCGCCATCAACAACCATGACTGCGGGTTGGTTTGAATTGGTTGGTGGTTTCAACCCCTCTGAAAAATATGAGTTCGTCAGTTGGGATGATTCTTCCCAAGATATGGAAAAATAAAATTCATGTTCCAAACCACCAACCAGATTATATTATAAATGGTGATGACTTGGGAATGGTTTGAATCAACACTTTCTGCTCCAGCAACCAGCGCCTGGGGAAATTGATCCCGACCACCACGGGCCATGACAGTAGTCGCTGCCGCCGAAAGCCGTGCCTTGTTGCATGGGCAGCGCAAAAGGCGCCACGCGCCACGCCAGGTTCGGAGGCTGTCTACCCACTGGTAAACTAACATAGCTATAGAAAATCACCATTTATAATAGGTAAATCAACTGTAAATGATCATTTTCAATAGCTATGTTAAATTACCAGAGGGCACCTCAATTTCATCAGTTCTATTACTTGCTGGTGCTAAACGTAGGGAATGGATGGGAATGGAAGGGTTGCTGGGATTATTATTGATAGTTAGCCAGTGGATCATTCCCCTCATTCCCTACGTTTAGCACAAGTAAAATTGGATTTGGGAATGATCCACAATAACTATCAATAATAATCCCAATTTTACTTATGAATGATCCACTAAATCAAGAAGCTCATTGCGAAGTGTTGACCCAAAATCAGAGATGATGACGTCAGTCTTCAAGGGCATCCACATAGGTCAGCCCGACTCTCTGCATAGCCATCCAGAGTCACAGCTTTCACGGTCACATCTTGGCACTGTGGATGTAACAAAAAACCATGTAATTATAGCAATTTTGATGGGATTTCCGGATGATAGCTACCTGGATTCCTTATCTGCGATGATGAAATACAAAACCATTTTTTTGGGTGAAATTATATCCCATGATATCCTCCAAAACTGGTTTGTTTAAGTACCGTATGTCCAAATACTATCTGGAAATCCAACACAGTTATGGATAACAATGCCCAATCTACAACAATATTACGGTCAAAAAAAACATGAGGTTCAATAGCAAAGCGCAACAAATTACCGGAGAGTAGCCAGCCCCAGACACTATATAATTATTTTTCAAGGTTTTTTCCAAAAAATATACTTCAATAAAAACAAATGGAAACCTGGAAATATGGAGAAAACACAATCTTCAGCATCTTGGAAACATGTTTTTTGTTTGGGTACAACAAAAACGACCCTCCAGGAATCAAACGTGGCAATTCAAAATCCACGATGAAGATGGAAATTTAAATGGAAAAATAATGAACATCAACTGGTTGGTGGTGCAATAACAATCTGGAAAAATATGAGTTCGTCAATGGGAAGGATGACATCACATATATGAAATGGAAAAATGAAAAAATGTTCTAAACCACCAAGCAGTCAATTGTAATTTAGTGGATTTTCCGTTGCCGCATTTACCAGATGGCAACCCAAAAAAAAATCGTTAATCATAGTTACTATATCCCAACGTAAATCCTATTCACATCATTGAATCCGACTAAAATCACCAGTAAATCTCCTTTGAATCACCATTAAACCCCTATAATGCCCTATAAATCAGTTTTTTTGATATGTTCTCTGGCCATGTTTTCTTCGTTTTTACCAAGGCACCACGCCCCAGGACATGCCGTCAGAAGCAGCGGAAGATTCCACGGCAGCGTCCAGATGGGAAGAAGGCCTCCGGAAATCGCAGGTGCCATGGATTCAACGGTGTAAATTCATATGTTTTGTTTGTATATCTATCTATGTCTCTTTGTTTGTCTATCTATCTATCTAATCTAATCTAACCTAATCTAACCTAATCTAATCTAATCTATCTTATCTTATCTTTTCTTGTCTTATCTTATCTTATCTATCTATCTATCTACCTATTCTATCTAACTATCTATCTATCCATCTATCCATCCATCCATCTATTTATCGATGTATCTATCTACCTATCTATCTATCTACCTATCTATCTAGCTATCTATCTATCTATCTACCTATATATATATGTATACATTTAATATTGATAGAAGTATGTATGGAACTAGAACATATATGTCAATATTATACATATATATAGTATATTGAATCATATGGATAAAACATAGAAAATGATCATTTTGTGATATATATATATATATTCAACGGTGGTAAAGGTGGTAAAATATAGTATGTATACATATGTATATATATATATGTAACTCCTCTGATGTGTCTGATGTGTTCCACAGTTGTGGCAAGAAATACCAGTTGTAAGTCAATAAGTCGATCGAATTATGGAATAATAACGCCACAAACACATATAAAAAATAACCGTTGCACATTATAATTCCAATATACCGATACCCAATTTATGACAAACTATAGAATGATAATCCATAATAATCCCATTTAAGTCAGTTATTATATAACCATAAAAACAGGTTTCTAGGGTTTGAACTCCAGGCATTTCAATGCGCCTGCACAGAGCAGCAAGGCACCAGGGCGGTCGAAAGGACAAAAACGCAGGTAGGGGTTCAGGAAACGCAATTCCTGGGCCAACTGGACATTGAAAAATGAGAAAAACATGAAAAAAAACAAAGAAATCTCGCGGAATATCAGGGATGCATTGCTACCTCCACATGATGAGAATCTCACAAATTTTGGGGTGGATGGAACAAATTTGAGGTTCCAAATAAACTCGGCAGCATTTCCCACGCCATCCCGCACATGTACCAGAATCATATGGTTGATCATCAATTTACCCATTTGAAAGCCGAGTCTTGGGGAGTCATATTCAGCCAAACAAACCATGTTAAAAACTCGTGAAATCCATCATTTCCAGAGTTGTCATCTGTTGTTGCTGCAGCCCTTGTAGAAACTGCAAGCGAGGTTCGTATGCCATGCCCAAGAACCTGAGCAACACACGACTTGACCAGTTGGGGCTGCTGACTCCGAACAAGTCCCTGGAAATCAAAACCATTTATAGCCATGTTCAATTGTTTGCTTTGATCTATCTCACCATGATTAACAGGTAAATCATCCCGTCTATAAGTTGTCCATTTTCCAAAAATTATTTTGGTTCACTGAAAGGTAAACCTACATGTTCGATAATGTGGTAAACCCAATGCCATAGGCCATCCCATTCAACATCATCCCAGTCATAGGAGTATACCCAATAATAAACCATTCTTAGGGATTGTTTATGGCTGGGTTTACCTTGTACATGTTGGGACTTTAAAACAGACAATTAATCAACCAGAGTCGGCATTACCAGGCGCAGCTGTCTGCCAGGTTGGTAGATCATGATTGGTCTCCCTACCTGACCTTTGCCTGTTGTCCCCACACATCTCCCGAGCGGATCTGTCAAAGCATCGTGTGAAGAACTGTATTCCAAAGATTGTTCGAGTTTCATCATGACGAAGATCGGTTTCTTCACTTTTCATGGCCCCTTTCATGGCTGGTTTTTTCCCGAGAGCGTCTGAGCGAAGGGTAGTTCTTCTAATAGTGGGGGTCTGTCAAACATGTTCACACCTCCACATCTCCACATCTTCACATCACATCTTCAAATCTTCACATCTTCTCATCTTGAAATCCTCACATCTTCACATCCTCACATCTTCACACCTTCTCATCTTCACATCTTCACATCCTCACATCCTCACATCTTCACATCCTCACATCTTCACATCTTCTCATCTTCGCATCTTCTCATCTTCACATCTTCTCATCTTCACATCACATCACATCTTCACATCTTCTCATATTCACACCTTCACATCCTCACATTTTGACATCCTCACATCTTCACATCTTCACATCCTCGCATCCTCACATCTTCACATCCTCACATCTTCACATCTTCACATCCTCGCACCCTCACATTTTCACATCTTTTCATCTTCACATCTTCTCATCTTCACATCACATCTTCACATCTTTTCATCTTCACATCTTCACATCCTCACATCCTCACATCCTCACATCTTCACATCCTCACATCTTCACATTTTCACAGCCTCGCATCCTCACATCTTCACATCCTCACATCTTCACATATCTTCACATCTTCTCATCTTCACATCACATCTTCACATCTTCTCATCCTCACATCTTCACATCCTCACATCTTCACATCCTCACATCTTTACATCTTCACATCGTCTTCACATTCTCTCTTGCCCTCTTGCTCTCTTGCCCTCTTCTTTTTCCTTCTTTTCTATTTCTCTCTTAAGGCGCGGGGCAGTGCCAACGAGACGGCACGAAACGCAACCTTTTCGCACGAAACGAGGTTCGATCGCCAAACATTGAAGTAAAATTGCGATTTTACAACCTCGACGGCAACCCTTTCGCACGAAATGAGGTGCGATCGCCAAAAACTGGGGCGAAATTGGGATTTTGAGTGTGCCGCGACAACCCTTTCGCATGGTTAAAAAAAAAAACAACGTATTTTTTTGTGACTTACCAGAGAGATCGCTAATCCCATGGTATTTACAGCGTTTTGTGGCTGCGCACTGTGGTGTGCACTGTGCGTGCACTATAGCGTGCACTGTGCAAAACATGCGGTTTTTGCCTGTCGTGGTCTTTTCAGCAGCAGAAGGCTGCAACTCTGCTTCTTTAGAGGCATGCGGAGGCACAAACGCATACATACAGACATGTGCAGATATTGTTTCATGGAGAGCTGTGAATTCATTCATGCTTCGATTGCAATCTTCAGAAGCAGACATGCTGCCAAAACCTGTGAGAGAAGGACAAGCCGACAAGCCGTGTGCTTGGGACAGAAGAAAAAAACAACTTGTGGCCAGACGGTGGGTGGAAAGAATCGTGCACCACTTTCAGCCCCTGATGAGAGAAACCCTCATTCCCTGTTTAACATTGAAGAGTTGCAACGATGCTGAAGAAAAAGAAGTTGAGTGGAGAAAATCCTGCACCACCTTAAGGCTTCCCAGAAACAACATTGAAAAGGGGGGTACGGGGGTTCTATGGCGTCTTTGCTACAGCTTTGTGCTTCTCCATCCACAGTATGATCTGGGTAAATCTGAATATTTCACTAGCAGTTTCCTGAAACTTGCGGCCATTTGGGGATGATTCCCTGAATCCAATTCCCCATTTCTCCCATGATTCCGTCAAATGGTCACTGTGAGGTCACTCTAATTTATCCAGATACTTCCTTCTCAAAAAAAATATCCAACTTGAAGATAAAGCCAATGGAGTTCCCATTGCAGCCTCACTAAAAACTCGTTACCCCCACTTTGATCCTTCAGGTTGAGGACCCCTCTCCTCTCCCAGAACTTCGGAAGTTAGCACGGCCAGAAAAAAGCATCAAGCAGTCACATTGGGCGTGATATGAGGGCCAAAAATCTGGTTTAAAGCATCACTTTCCACCTTTTAGCGACTACTTTTCAGGTTTGAGGCATTTTTTGATGTCGCTTCATTTCTTACATCCAAATTTCGGCAGGTGAAATCTCATACTCATACCCCAAGCGGCACCCCAAGTTGATGAGTCAAGATCAAGCGGCACCACCTCCCCATACAGTCCATACATGGTCGACTAAGCCACAGATATGTGAAAAGAAAAGCTCGCAGCAGGATCTCCAATACCATCCAGGCGAAGGCAAAGAAATGATCCTAGGATTCACTGGGTCGTCAGTGGTTGATAACCATAGCCATAGTTATAAAAATGGGAGAACCATGGATAAATGGTGTTATAACCACTATATCAACCATGAAAATAACTTACCATTTATAACTAGGATTCTCCCATAGACATTTATGTAACTATATATATACATATGAGTAATAATAATCACTTACCCATATATGATATATATATATAACTAAGGTTACTAATGGATAACTATATGGTATAGCCATATGTTTCACAAAAATCGTTATTGTTAGGTAAGTGGTTGGTTAAAAACTTAGGCAAATAGTAACCATAGCCATAGTTATAAACCACTATAAATGGGTATATATATATGGATTGTGGCTTATCCAAATATATATATATATCCATATATATATATATATATCCCTATATATATAATAACCCACTAGTTATATGGATATATAACCCACTAGCTTACCAATTTATGGCATTGTCGCCATCGGTTAGAAGATCCGTTGGATCCACACGGTGTCTGGATGAAACCAGCCAGGCCATGGTTTGAACGAACTTTTGGGATGATTCCTCTATAAAAACCCATGGATTATATGGGTATCTATGGCTATATCCCATGAAACTATGGCTATATCTATTGTGAATTAAAAAAAGTGGATATCCCATGAAATAGTGATGATTTACCCAGCTTTTCGTGATTTTCCAGAGTTATATATGTAGGTTTACCAGAGGGTATATCAACCTATACTGGTATGAAAACCATGATTCCAGGCTTCGGGAGAACAGGCTTCGGTCGTTGTAATTTAATTATGGTTGGTGGTGCAATAACCATCTTGAAAAATGATGGAGTTCGTCAAGAAGGATGACATCCCATGTATGAAATGGAAAATAAGATTCATGTTCCAACCACCAACCAGTTTTGCGCTATGGACAATGAAACTTTCTGTCAAATCCAGCTATCCTATGAAACTTTGTGTCGCTAGGATCAGATCATTACGTTTGCAGGACAATAATAAAATATCATAAAATATCTGGTTGGTGGTTTCAACCTTCCCCTCTGAAAAATATGAGTCAGTTGGGATGATGACATTCCCAACTGAATGGAAAAATAAAGTTCATGTTCCAAACCACCAATCAGTTTGTGTCAAATCCAAATGTTATTGATGATGAAAGTCAAAAATCTACTATTCCGCCAATTCACTCACATCTACCATAGCGCAACCATCTGCTTCTGGGGGATAAAGAATGAACAGACTGTGCTGACAAGAAGTTGCGGTTTCAAGAAATCATAGCTTACAACTGGGATGTGCATGCTTTTCCAGTCACTACAGGTACGGTATCACCAATCACTATCCAGAATACAACCAAAGAAAGTACAAGGTGGTGCCCCCGCAGTTATAAGTTGCTTTTTACACCATAACTAGTTCGATATCTCCACCATAAACCATTTTGTGAGTTATTGGAGTTGTTTATCCGCACCAACTGAAAACGCTATCGTCTATCTAAACGGGGGCACCATCCAGACAGATATCATAGACAACCCGACAAATCCCGCCTCTGCCACCAGGAAGTTATATGCAGGACCCACAGTCAGAGGCAACAAACAAACATACCACCTGCGCAGCGCAGCAGCGCATGGCCATCCACCCAAACCGGGTGGAGACCAGCGGCTGATGAACGAAGCTGGTAAAGCCAATGTAACTGGCATTTCATAAAGCATTTCTTTGCTAATAAAGCTATTATATCATATCATACAATTATATATATATATATGTGTATGTATAATAATGTAGATATATATATAGATACATCTATATATATATATATAATTAATCATATTTATATGTATCAACATATGAAACTATGCCGAAACTGAACTACTCCATAGTTTGATATATCATGCCAACAGACATAACACATGACAAGAATCACCATGTTTACATATGTTTACTGTAAAATCACTTAAAAAACTGGATGGTAGTGGATGGTATGGTTAGCTGATGCGTTTACGGTAAACTCACTAAAAACTTCTTAAAACTGGATATTTGATGGATTATGATGCTATGTTTAGCACAAAACAGTTATTCATCAAGATCATCATGGCCAAAAAAGGGGCATGGCGATCTTAACAGCTCCGACACCGCGGATCTGTCCGCTGACCTTGCGATGAGGCTCAAGTGATCCGATTGCTTCTGTGCTTCTTCCGCTTGGGCCTGCGAACATGAGATTTTCGATGGACTGCTCTGAACAGATGTAGCGGTGTGATCTGTCAATATTATATGTGCACATATAATGATACAGGATAATGATAATGATAATGGTAACGCTACCATTACAGGTGTTTTATCATGTAATGATCAGATATATCATAACAAGATCACATCATCACATATGATCATGATATTCAAGATTATGTGATGATTGGATGGACTGTTCATCCCACCATGTTAAACCCAATATCATATATATATATAAATATATATGCTGTGATATGTTCTGCTTGTTTATAGCCATGGTTTAAGCCATCCCAAAAATATACGCCAAAGTCGAATCTCAGCCCATCATCCCTTTTGTCTGGTTGAACAAACAATAACTTGTTGGTGGTTCTAACCATCTTGAACAATATGAGTTCGTCAATGGGAAGGATTATCCCATATATTATGGAACATAAAATTAAAATTCATGTTCCAAACCACCAACCAGAGTATTTAAAACTTCCAAGCACCAATGTCACTAATGAGTACTAAGGAGGTAAACAATAAACCATTCCCAGAGGTTTATGACATTTGGTAAGTAGAACACAGAGCAGCATTCAGGTTGCTGCTTCGAAGTATCCTGGACACAAAGAGTAAACACCAGAAACATCTCAAGTGTGGTAAACCGCAATAAACCTCAGCCATTTTGGGTGGGGATTTTCATGAAACCCATCCCGCCATGGCGCCATAGGCATTGCTAACAGTCAGCCCATCCCCACATGGTGACGGTTGGTGATGGGCCAGTGGGGGTGTCCCACAGTATCAATCATCTTCCCCCAGAAACCCTACAGTTATGGCCCGAGATGTACCAGTTATAAGTACTAAGCCACACCATTTACGTATATATATATAATTATATGTAAAAACCCATAGAATAACCAGTTAGTGAACTAATAGCCATGGCCATAACTGTACCTTGGCACAGTTATAAATCCTTGGCCTTGAGGGTGAAGTGTTTTCCCAGCATCACATCCAGAGCTTTCCGATCCACCTTCCCTGGAAAAATGGCGAAACATGGGCTGTTGGAGTTCGATTGTCTTCTGGGGAAGTTTTGGATACTTTTCGGTTTCCAAAGTCATGGGGCTCCCCCAAATCTGCCAAGTTACGTGTGACCATGTTATTTTCGATAGCCATTGTGAACCGGGAACCCAGAGATATATATATATATAGATAGATAGATATATAGATATATAGATGTATAGATATATAGATATATTAGATATATATATATATATAAAGACTGCACTGCCGCGCTTTTCTGGGCACGGCAAGATCTGATTTGTCATAAAAGGAACGAACAACATGTTCGCAATTCCCATCATTCCCATTTCCAATGAAAAAAACAACAGAGGGGTCCCAACTAGTCATTCTCCCCGCCTTCCCGAGGAGAAAAACCAGTTCCCCTAGATACCTCCCATCTGACTCGCCAAGCCGAGCAGGATGGGCCCCGGCATCTTGATTTCACTTTAGTCACATGATTCTTAAAGAGTCACCAGCTCTCAGTCCCTTTGGATTTCTCATGGGAAATAAACAAAGAGAAACACGACTCTCCGCCTCCCCAATATAGGAGAGGGGGGGAGGGAACTTAAACCGAAATGCTACACAGAAAAGCTTAAGTGAGTCTTTAAATCCGGGGTTGGAAAATCAAAGACTGCACTGCCGCGCTTTTCTGGGCACGGCAAGATCTGATTTGTCATAAAAGGAACGAACAACATGTTCGCAATTCCCATCATTCCCATTTCCAATGAAAAAAACAACAGAGGGGTCCCAACTAGTCATTCTCCCCGCCTTCCCGAGGAGAAAAACCAGTTCCCCTAGATACCTCCCATCTGACTCGCCAAGCCGAGCAGGATGGGCCCCGGCATCTTGATTTCACTTTAGTCACATGATTCTTAAAGAGTCACAAAAAAACAACAGAGGGGTCCCAACTAGTCATTCTCCCCGCCTTCCCGAGGAGAAAAACCAGTTCCCCTAGATACCTCCCATCTGACTCGCCAAGCCGAGCAGGATGGGCCCCGGCATCTTGATTTCACTTTAGTCACATGATTCTTAAAGAGTCACCAGCTCTCAGTCCCTTTGGATTTCTCATGGGAAATAAACAAAGAGAAACACGACTCTCCACGTCCCCCACTTCTTCTCGCAGAGGATGCTCAAGCATTTCACTGAATTCGCGGAAGTCTGGAGCGCGTCGCATTAACATACACAGTGTGAAACGGTGCCAATTGTTTATGAGAAATTTTCATCTCGGCTAAAGTAGCTAAACCCTCATTCAGGTAAGTACGTGCGGTTTTTGCAGCCATCCACCTCCCTTGCAGGAGGATCCGGTCGAGCGATCCATGCTTACTGAACCAAAATGTGGCCCCACCACGGCGAAGAGAATACGGACGGAATTCCCATGGCCCAAGGGCTAATGACTCCAACGCGTTGGTAAAAGCTTTTCGCCAGGCGTGAGGGGAGGGGGTAAGTTTAGAGGCAGATGACGAACTATTTTTCCATTGGTGAAGTCGGCGAATGACTTCCACTACAGTGACAGAGACGCTCTCCGCAGCGCCAGCCCGTTTGCCACCTTTTGTGTAACCCAATGAAATAACAGCCGATTGCCCACGAGGGTCAATGGTAACATCTTTGTTACGAATACCCAATAATTCCCCAGTCCGAAGCATAGCAAAGAAGCCCAGTAACAAAGACAGAGCCATGAGGGGATCATCATGGAACAGGAAATAGCCAACGAGACTTTCTAACACCCGCACAGGGAGGGGTGGGGCACGGCAGGGGATCTCATTGACGTGCCAGGTCTTGAGCAATCGCCAGGCCCCTGGAATGTGGCCTTTGACCCGAGGGCTGGTGTCTTGCAAACTGGCCAGGGTGTCTGAAGCCAGTCCCCGGCCCTCTCCTGAAGACCAAAGGTGTTCAAGATAATCGCACAGGAGTCCGTCCAGCTGAGAGTACTCCCGAGGAAGTTGGAGATCATTTGCTCGAAGAAAAGAATAAAACTTGTCTTTTGCCTTGTCATATCTAGCTCGCGTACGAGGTTGGATAGTCAAGCTTCTCAGCGTACCCATCTGCTTGCGCACTTTTTGCCTCTCCTGCTTACTGCGCCCCTCTAACCGCTTTTGGTTTTTCGCCATTTCATAGAACGCACCCGGCGCGATGGCCGGTCTGCTGGGTTTTGAGCTGTGTGGACGTAGGCCCACACAGGATGGAGGTGAGCAGTAAGGAGGAGGGCATTAATGCGCATGATGGTTCTACGGAGGCGTTTGCTAGAACTTCTACCTCGACTTAAGGCGTGGAGGACAACAAGACTATCCGTCAAATGGATCAGACGACATCCAGACAGCTTTTCCTTCAAGATCAGGTACCGCAAGGTAGTCAGAACGGAGCGCATTTCAAGCTGGTTGATGTGCTCCTTGCTTTTCCAAGCCCACCCCGCAATTTCTTTCCATTTCCAGAGCTTGCTAGGGATGCTTGTCCGAAGCCGGTGGTACCGGACCAGGTGTTCCGTGGGAGCCTGGAGCATGAGGTCCTCTCCTTTCACTGACACTAAGCCAGCTAACCGTCGCGACAAGTCATTTTCAGGGAAAATTTGTGGGTCTTCACGTTTGACCGGAGGGCGCTGCAAAATGCTTTGAAGGGTACTCCCACAGCCAGGAGTCATCCGCGCAAGGAGGGTGGAGATAGGGACAAAAGGCACCAAACCCAATCTCTCGAAAAGTTGTTTGAGCAAACACACCACAACCGGGACGGACCAGGTGTTCCCCAGTAAGGTTTTACGAAGATCGCTCACCCATTCAAGGTGACGCTCCTGTTTCCGAACGCATTGCGCGGTATAGTGTGCTGGGAAGCCCAAAATCACCTCACGCTCGACGATGCTAGCCACGCGCACGGGGGAGGTTGCATGATGGAGGCAAAATTCAGGTTTGTACTGGTAAGGGGGGTATCTGTGGCAATCATCCTTCCAGCGCTGGAGTGTGGCGGCGTCAGAAGAGGCCAAGCCAGCTGGTCGCCGGCCAGGGGTAGGCGAGGGTCGCGACGTAGTGAAGGTGGCGAGCCGTGCAGCAGGGTGGATGAACCACCCAGCCTCAAGAAAATCGCGCTGGGGAACCTCAGCCTCCAGCGTGATTTCCCGCAGTTCGTGCCATCCCATTCCCACTGGCTCCTGCAGGAGCATTCCTGGCTCTGAGGCCAACTCCCAGGTAAGCCAGTACAGTCGCGGCCTCCGAGCAAGTGACACTCCAGCTGCGTCCACCCGCAGGGGAAGTAAGCCAAGGTCGGCAGACATGGCTGCGCGGTCCTTTGCGTCCATAGAAGCTACACTTTCCATAAAAAGGTGAACCTGCGCCCATGGGAAAAAGTTCTCCACAAGCGCTTTCACCCGAGGAACTTCCTTATACAAGGAGCTGCGCAAGTCTTTCTGAGAGCCTTTACGGTCGGCATTCAACCCGCTCACCCCTTGGCAAGGGGGGCCAGCTCCGATCAAGACCACCCCCACAGAAGAAAATTCACAAGCCCATCGCCGCACTTCTCCAGCCGTGACATCCTGTACGGTGTTCACTACATGAGACCCAGGGAAAGCACTTTCCAACACGCGATTGGCATACGCGTTGCATTCCACGCTCACATGACCCGCAACCGGTACTTGCAATACATCAACAGCCACGCGCAACGCGCCAATGCCATCGAATAACCCCACTGTAAGAACTTCAATGGCAGAGGAGGCATCACCAGACTCTCCCCGGACTAGGGCGGCCTGGGCGGTTCAGCCATAGGCAGCCAAGCCTATTGACCTACAAATTCCTCCCCCAGAGGAGGACGCGTCGCTCGCGGTGACATGGGGGCACATAGGCATCCGAAAATCCATTTGCGCTAGGGGTACCAGCGACATGAAGCGCAGGAGCTCAAGCTTGACACCACGGGGCAAACGCAAGCGGACCACTGGGGGGTAAGCCTTCATACTTTCAATATGTTCCCAGATCTCATTCAGCGCACAGAGAAGCGCACGCCGAAACATGGTAATATAGACAAAACCCCCTGCCACTACCTGCAATTCCCGCATCGAGGCGCCATCCCGCTGAACGAGTTCCCATGCCAACCCCATATATTTCAAGATCTTCTCAGGTTTGGCGTATGCCACGCCAGCCCTCCCGTCCAGGAGGGCACCCTGAATCTCGGCCCGGCAGGCACTTTCAACAGCTTTTTTGGGGTGGCGTGGAAGGTTCAGATCTTCATATTCTTGACGGAGACAAAGCTGTTGGGGTGACGGGGAACCCAGTACATCGTCAACCAAGTTTCTGTCAACCTTCCTAATCTCATCCCAGTTGTCTAGGTAAACCCGAAACATGACATCCGTCAATGGCGCCGGCCTGTCGCGCCGAAGCTCGCAGTGGCCCCGAAGATCCAAACCAGCTGGGCTCGAACTCCACCTGACAACATTTCGATGGATGTGCTGGGCCAGTGCAACACTATTTACAAAACCCATTGGTAACACCCGGGCAACCAGCCGGCATGACTGTCCTGCAAACTCTGGAGGTACCAGGCCCGAAGGTACTTCACGAGCAAATCCCATGAACCGCATCCATGTATCATGGACTTTGAATAAGTAGTAAAAACACTTTATGTCTTCGCTACACATCACAGCAACCTCAGAGTCGTCCAAATAAAAAGCAGAGAAGCCAGCAATACTAGGGAGAGTGCCTATGTCTCCCCTTAGTGAGCGACACAATTTATTCAGCGGCACCATGTTCATAATGAGTCGATGAAGTTCCAGCCCTGAATCATCAAATTCATTTTTACTCACAGCAAAAAGTCCGTTTTCCAAAGCAATGTCCCCTACATGATGGAGGAGCCGCTGTGGCAGCACCCCACAAATCCCTGTACCAATGAGCCCCTTACAAACGTCAAACCAATCCGACTGATCAACAAGAATACGAGGGGGTCGGCCAATAGTTTGTTGTTCATCAGGAAGGAAGTATTCCTCAAAAGCTTCAACATAATGACGACACCCGCCAGTACAGAAATCAAGTAGGTTCAAAGTGCCCACTTCTTGGGGAAGTGCCCCTGCAATGCAAGCCCAGTTGAAGCTCTTTGCCAGCTTAACTTCTTCCCCGCGATAGTCTACACCTTTTACATCAAATAGTTCCCCGAACCCTGTCTTTGGAACAGTTTCAGTCCAGCCCCACATGCGCTCAAGAGAAACCACCACAGAACTCACTAATCTTTTTTGCACTGTGGTCGGCCCCGCCGTCGTCTGCGACCCCGCTCCATAGAGGGAGTTTAACGCCAGCAGAATGCTACCCAGCCAAGATGACATTTGTGGGTGGACCCCCGGGTACCCCTCCAGGGGCAAAGGGAAAATAGAATCCTTTGCCATGGTCATGATCTTGCCATGCCTACTCCATAAATAACACTGAAGGGATTCAAATAAGGGTCCACCCATTTCAGAAAAAGTGCGCCCAGCAAAGGCTAAAAAAGAGTCACTAGTAGCGGCCGCCACTGCAGGCACCGACGCACCCGGCTTCGCAGGTGTGTCCATGCCAGGATCTGCCTGACTACCAGTCGCTGCATCTGTCAATTCAATTTGAGGTGTCAGACCCGGAGACTCATTACGATCACCTCCCGCTGACACCCCACATGCAATGCCACTCAGTGAAAAGTCCTGGAGGAGCCCACAAGGAGGACAGCGCTGCAATTCGTCAAGTGGCTGTCCACCCCTCAGCTCCCCAGCGGTCAAAGTCGCCCCCCCCGGTGCCAGCAGGGGGAGCTCCTCTCTCTCATCTGCCATCCTCAACATTTGACCTGCACTGTTCATCCTGCCTTCGCCTTCTTGGCGTCGCCCTTGTCCTGCTCGCTCTTCTTTCCGTCGCCCTTCTGCCCCTTGTATTTGCCTCCCCCTTTCTTCCCGGACCCCTTGGTCCACTCCTCTCCTTTCCCTGAGCTCGACCCCCCTGGCGCCGTAGGGGCGAGTGGCATCCAGCTTCGCTTTGCCTTCTTCCCGCGCCTGGCGCGACGCCAGCTGGAACTCGGTAGTGGTGGACATGCTCGCTCCTTCTCGGGGCAGAAGCTCTTGTTGCTGGCTCACTGTCCAGTGGGCGCCTTGAGCCATCATTTCTAGGCTCTTGAGACGCTGTGCGCCAATGTCCATCCCCTCGGCCACACGGCCTCTCAGGAGGCTGTCCAGGATTTGGGACAGAGCGTGAGCTTCGCGCCCCATTGCAGGGGACATCCGAGATGCTAGTTGCATCCGGTAATAGCGCAGGAATAGGGGTGGAGAGCCGCCGCCCCCGTCTCGAAGAGCCCCCCCTCTTGCGTGATGAGCGCCTCGGAGGCTTCTTCGAGAGCCCCCAAGGTAAGCACACCTGGGAGCTTTCGTCCTATCCTCTGCACTTTCCCCACTCCTCCAAAGATCCCTGCGTCCTCTTGACCCAGTGTGCTGGTACTCGTGGTTGCCGACGAAGAACTGTTGCTGACATCCTTTCCTTTCCGCCGTGACAACTTCGTGGCGCGGCGCTTGAAGCGTCGCCGCACAACTGGATCTGGGTCTACTCCCGTATCCTGAAAAAGGAGTTTGAGATCCTTCCTTCCGTCGACCTTCAACTTGTCTTTCTTTTTCTTTCGCCCACGGCTCCTCTTCTTGACCTGCCTCTCTTCTCTCTCTCTGCCAGGAGACCTCTCTCCCAGATCCACGCGCCCTTGGCCTGGATCGCCCACTCTGCGCTCGAAGTCGGCTCGAAGATCGGCAAGCTCGTCTCGGCGCGGTCCTTCTGGGGCTTCTGGAACCATGTTGCTCATCCAAGGCAGCCTCTCTGCACCTAGACGTCTGAACTTGGTCACGTGGAGATAACCTTCGGCGTGAGGAGAGCCAGGGCACTCCCGAGGGCACAGGTGAACCTTGATCACCCTCCCGTCCCGGTTTGAAGCATCCCGGAGAAGGCTTTCGTTCTGGGTACCTAACACCTGACATTGCAGCACTACCTCACCGCCTTTCAGGCCTACGTCCTGAACCCGAAGGGCAGCTGTTGCCGGGGCGTCCCAATACGACCCAGCAATAACCTCAATGTCCTGCAATCCTTTGCACTGTTCCAGGGTGAGGTCAGCCGTTAGAATCTCCTCGGCCAAATCACCCAGCCCCGGATCCACCGCCTTTGCGGGACGGCGCAACCCAGGAGCCCGTCTACCCCGAGCCAGGGCAGCAGCAGGCCTACGAAGTTTCGGGGGCATCTACCCCTGCCGTGTTCTCCTCCAGCGATCAGCCCCTTGATTGAATCTGCGAGTCCTTGCCTTGAACTCAGCCCGCTTCTTCCTCTTTGTGACGCCTTTGTTCTTGTTGAAGTGCTTGCCACACCCGGGGGGTGGCTGGCGTGGCCTAGCACGAATAGGGCCCGACCAGTTGCGTCCTTCAGCAAACCTCGGCAGTGCCACTCGATCACAGCGGCCCCGAGGAGGAGACCTTTGGGGTGACACAGGGGCGGCTTTCCTTGCACGCAGCTTTGCAGGATCTTCACTCCTCTCGTCCTCACTCTTCACTCCTTGTGGACGGACGGGACTTGCCAACCGCGGCAAAGGGCTCCTTGACTTTGGGCGACGGCGGCTCCTTGAGCGCCTGTCCCGTTTCCGATCTCGGTGGCTAGGGCTCTTGGAGCGACGGCGACTTTTGTCTTTGCGGTCCTTCTTCTTCTCCTTTGTTGGGCGACTTGAGGACGAGGCGGCAGGCTCACCTTCTTTTCTTTCCGGCTCAGAAGTTCTACCACCAGTCCCTGGCACGGCTGGTGGTGGTGGCGGTGGCGGCGCTAAGGCAGACGCCTTGGGAGTGGCTCCTGGTGGTGCTCCACCCTCTGGAGGTGGAGGAGGTGGTTGTGGTCCACCCTTGGCCCGGCGGGCAAAGGAGGGGTCTGGCACTACCCCCCGTGCGACCTCACCAAGGTCCAGTATATCAGATATCCACACCCGCAATTTCAAGAGCACTGCCTCGTAGCGCTCAGGTGGGGTCTGATTGCTTCTGATAATGGAAGCAAGTCTATCCACACTCCGGCACACCCCACAGAGATTTCCACCAGTCGCCAGCCACTTTCCACCGCAGTTGTGACAGGGAACCTCTGACATTAACTTAAACCGAAATGCTACACAGAAAAGCTTAAGTGAGTCTTTAAATCCGGGGTCGGAAAATCATATATATATATATATATAGATATAAAACTTATATATTCCGATCCAACAACAAACAAACTGTAAGTGAGTGGGACATCTACCCACTGGCAGTAGGGTAGACTCGATGTTTCTTGGAGATACCGTGGCTGACAAGGGATTCGCTCAAATGGCCGCTGAAAAACGATTCAAAGCGACTAGTGAATCTAGTGACAATATAGAAATATACTATAAATATAAATTTATCTAGTGACAATAGTGAATCTAGTGATATCACTATATTTCTATATTTATAGAAATCCTAGAAATCTAGTAATCCCCATTCTATATACCCTCTGGTAATTTAACATAGCTATCTAAAACGGCCCAGTGAAATAGTTGATTTACCCATTGAAAAGATGGTCAGTTTCCATATTTTTCCATAGCTATGTTAGCTTACCAGAGGGTAAATATATCACTAGTAAATCTAGTAATTTCATGCTACATAGTGCACAACCGGCCCCTAGGGATTCCTCATGATACTGCTAGCTGATCACCACGATGAGGATCTGCTCACAAGTCACATCCCTATGATCCCCCGAGGATCTATTAATAATCTGTTAATCTAGGCATTTAGTAAATTTCTACTAGATAAATGTCCTGGAAAAATCTATTAGATTTAATCATCAAATGATCTATTAATCTAGGTTATATTCTGGTTGTTGGTTTAAGCCCCTCTGAAAAATCATGGAGTTAACGTCAGTTGGGATGATGACATTCCCAATATATATATATTATATGGAAAAATAAAATTCATGTTCCAAACCACCAACCAGGTATTAATATGTCCTTCTATTAATTAATAGTTCGCCAACCTGAAATTGACGGCCACCGGACCCTTCCCTTCGCAATGGGCCCTCCCTCCCTTTATTGGGATGATTCCTCTATAAAAACCGTGATTCCAGGCTTCGGGAGAACAGGCTTCGGTCGTTGTAATTTACCCAGATTGATGGTTAATATATATATATATATTTGAGAATATGGTTAATAATTAATGGTTGATTATATGGTTAATATTATGTATATATATATGGTTCATCTTACATGATTTTCTTCCGATTCATTCCACCCAGTTATACCTGGGGAATCCTTTTTGGGAACGCCAAAATTCCATTTCAGCACAGGAATCACCGAATTCGAAAAAATCCCGGAAGCCCCACGGCGCAACGCGCCTGTGGGCGTGCGCGGTAAGAAGGGCACCTTAGAAAATGGGCGACCCAACAACGTTGAACCTGGATTCATCAGTTTTGACCATCCCAAATTGGAGGTTTCCTAACTCATGGGGGTAGCCCCAAATCATCCATTTATCTGGCAAAATTATAATAGTTCACTAACCTGAATCTTGCGGCCATTTGGGGATGATTTCCCTTATTAACCATGATTCCAATGAGGGAGAACAGTGAGGTCGTTATAATTTACCCAGATTTATAGATGGGATTTTCCATGAAATAAAGCATTCCAATGGCCATGCAACAGGAACCGATTGATTGGAGGTACCTAACATATATAAGGCCTATTTTTCAGGGCTATGTAAGGGGATATCCCTACAAAATATGGCCTTATATGGTATAATACCACCATTTTAAGATCCTGAAGTTCCCATTAAAAATGGGATTGTCTGAAGATTTAGGGGGGAAGGCGTGGAAAAGTTCAAAAATCCGATGATTGATCATATTTTTCCTCTTCAAAGGGCTATAATTGAGGGGTATGCGGTATACCCTATATTTCAGGCGCACCCACACAGTGATATACTGCTACTAAAATGGTATCCACCGTTTATTTCACAGCCCTGTATTCATTCCCGGTTGACATCATTAACGAATGACAGAAAACCATGCCTTTTATATGTTATATGTTTGCACGTGATTATGGGCCAAACATGGTCAAAACCTATCGTTTTCCAGATGAATGGGGGAACATCCATTTCAGAACCAGCTATGAACTGATAGCTGAACAGCAGAAAACCCGTAGTGAGCTGATCCATAGCCGTCCAAGCTGAAGAAACCATGGTCAGAATGGGATATATAACTGGTTGGTGGTTGACCTACCCCTCTGAAAAATATGAGTTTGTCTGTTGGGGTTATGACATTCCCAATATATGGAAAATAAAATTCATGTTCCAAACCACCAACCAGATAATGTGTCTATTAATTTGGTAAGGACTTTTGAATATACGAACAGGTATTTTAGACTACCTCCGGGAAGGGTTTCCTTGGCCCACCCGGCCATTTAAACATATATGGAATCCAATTCATTTAAACATGCGGTAACTACAGTTAAATATACAAACTGGTATTTCCTACTACCTCCGGGGCCTCGCGGTCTGGCCCGCCCGCCACATATTTAAATAAATGTCGTTACGGTATAATTATACGTATATATATATAACTTATATCACTATCTACACATGAACACACAAAGTTTTATTTCAATCAAGAAGGGGCATGGAAGCCATGGATTTGTATGGTCCAAATGGAGGTATGGCATTGCTTGCCGATTTCGGAGGATGGGCCATTGGGCCATGTCTCATGGAGGAAACTGGCAACATTTTCTCATGAAAAAATCTACCCTCTGGTTATGACTAACATAGAGCAATGGAAAATAATCATTTTTAATAGGTAAACCATCTATTTCAATGGGCCATTTTCCAATTTTCCATGGCTATGTTAGTCATAACCACAGGGTAGTTCGAACATCTCAACACCACTTGTTTTTTTTTTGTGGTTTTGTAGAGGAACCTGACTCCTTGGAGAAGTGCCAGGCAGTCGCAACAAGTTGGTGAGGGCCAACATTTTTCCGGCACAACATGGCAAAACAAGATCTGGTTGGTGGTTTTAACATGTTTTAACCATCTTGAAAAATGATGGAGCTCGTCAATGGGAAGGGTGACATCCCATATATTATAGATATCTTAGCTGGTTGGTGGTTTCAACCCCTCTGAAAAATATGAAACTCAGTTGGGATTAATATTCCCAACATATGGAAAATAAAAAAATGTTCCAAACCACCAACCAGAGATGCACGATGAATCCCAGAATCCTCACAGCAGATCAGGGAGAACTGCTGCTGACACGTATTTCGCCGTTTTTTTTCGTCACCCATATGCTCCATGGTGCTGGAATATGCACACCAACACACCAACATTTACCCGAACAAAATCACCCAGTACCAGCACCATGGAGCATATGGATCATTGCCAAGACACCAAATACAAAGCATAGTCTGGAGGAATTTGTCCTTGGCGTCTGGTGATCTGATTGCTAAAAACACAGTGGCTACTCATAGCTACGTAGCAAATTCTCATGGTTTTTTCGAAAAGGACATCTGGTTGGTGGTTGACCTACCCCTCTGAAAAATATGAAAGTCAGTTGGGATGATTATTCCCAACAATATTTACGGAAAAAACAACCAGACATCATCTTTCCTAAAATTTCACGTTATTTGATAACCATAAATTGGAATGCTGAGTTACTGGATCCTCCACGTAGCCAAATAGCTGGGAAACACATAGACATAGGTGGCCTAAACCATCATCATCTCAGTTTTGCCTGACTTCCACTCAGTAAACCTGGCACTGCAAAGCCGGAAAAGATTTAATCTAAGTACCCTCTGAAAATCTAAAATAACGAAAGAACCTTGCCGATTTAGTTGGATGATTTATCCATGGTACATATTTGATCATATTTGTCAAATTTCAAGAACAAACCGAAACGTAACGTAAATTACCAAGGGGTAGATGATTTTGTTCCAGCACCAACCTCCATCACCGCCATGGCAAAAAAAAATCCTGAAATGACTGCACCATTTTTAGATCGGGGAGAAATCCCGATGTCTCTGAGCTTAAACCTCGTTTCGGACATGTCATGCACCACCCAACCCTGTCACGAATTGGCTTATCCAGATATCTCCCCCATGTTTTGGGATGGTTCTACAACGGTTATCCCAGAGCGAGAATCCCCAGGCAGATCTGATAGCTGAAAGGAACATGAAAGCCTGTGTTTCTACGACTGCCCTTTATCAACAAAAGAATGTGCGCTTAATTAACCCATAATTAATCAACAGAACAGTTACAGTAGAATTACGGCCAGGCGCTGCGTGTTGCCCGGAAAGTTCAAATGGTGTTTATGCATTATCCTTCAACATACTCAAACACCTGCATAGGGCCAGTGTCTTGAGATTTCCCAAGCGACGAACTCTAAACACTAAACCCTAAAACCCTAAAACCTGAAACCCTAAAACCCTAAAACCTTAAACCCTAAACCCCAAAACCAAAATCCTGAAACCTTTGAATCCTAAAGCAGAAAACACTGCGTATATGCAGTATTTTTCTGCAGCCTCTCCTATCATATTCGACAACACGACATCCTCAATGTTAATGTCTGGGCAACACGCAGCGTCTGTGTGTAGAATTACAAATGAGGGCACGCCTTTATGAAAGAAACTCATCATCATCCGGTTTGTCTGATATCCATGCTGGAATATGCACACCAACATTTACCCTCTGGTAAACTAACATAGCTATTGAAAATGGCCATTTATAGTGAGTTTTCCCATTAAAAATGGTGATTTTCCATAGTTATGTTAGTTTACCAGAGGGTACCACAAAATCACCCAGTTTTGTAGCTAAATATTCCAACACCATGCGAATCGCATATGGGAAAATTCATCATGTTCATCTGGTTGGTGGTTTCAGTCTACCCCTCTGAAAAATCATGGAGTTCGTCAGTTGGGATGATGACATTCCCAACTGAATGGACAGTCATAAAATTCCATGGTTCCAAACCACCAACCAGGCTCTATATATATAATATATATATATATCATATATCCCATCAAATATCCCTATGGTTGGCTATAAATCCCATATATTATAGAAAAATCAAAGTCATGTTCCAAACCACCAACCAGAATAGGCAAATCAACTATAAATGGCCATTTTCAATATAGCTATGTTAGTCATTACCAGAGGGTAATATTCATGTTCCAAACCACCAGCCAGTAATCATGTTCATTTGTTTTATAGATCATTTTTCACATTCTCCATCAACCATTACCAACCGTTACTAACCACTAGAAAAACCATCACTAAAAATTGTTTTTTTCATATATCTTGGTTTTTTTTCCACTAACCTGAATCTTGTGGCCATTTTGGGATGATTCCCCTTACTAACCATGATTCCAGTGAGGGAGAACAGTGAGGTCGTTATAATTTACCCAGATATATGTTCATAAGATTTATAGATATTATGGAGAATAAAATTCATGTTTGAAACCACCAACCAGTCATATATGTTCATAAGCACACCCAATTCATTTGTTTTCCCGAAACGGACCGAGGCGGTTTTTCAGGCGTAGCATCTTCGGAGCTCTGCCATGATGGTTGACTCCACAGCGACGGCGATGGCGGCGATGCGAACGTACGCCGCCTCTCGTGGGGAAGCTTCCAGGTTCTTGTGGGTAGCGGATAGTCAATGGCCATTCGAGGAACCCAAATTGGAGGTACCTACCATATATATAAGGCCTATGTAAGGGCTATGTAAGGGGATATACCCCCAAAATATGGCCTTATATAGTACCATTTTAGGATCCTGGAATTCCCATTGAGATAGGCTGGTGAAGATAATTCCAATAACTATGATTTAATGAGATTTAATGAGGTTCAATGGATTTATTTTTTTTTAAATAGTTGGTATGGGATTTTGATAATTAATTTTAAACATAACTCCAATAACGCTTGAGTTTGTGGTAGATATAACGAACTAGTTCGTGGGGTTGATGATCTACAAACATAACGTTTGGGGGCCCCTACCTTGTAACAATATTATCAATACAAGGTGGAGCATATTCTAGATCCTAAACCAAATAAAAACCATCTCTCTAGGAGACGAACACAAGTTATAAACCCTGGAGAGCTAAGTTGGGATCTACAATGTGGAGCCCCCCAGTGATGTGAACGTTGGTTTTTGTTAACCCCATGAATACTATAGTTGTAAGTATCATAAACCCAAACGTTATTGAAGTTATGTTCACCAATTTAGCTATCTATGGAGCCCCACATTGTACATAACTCCAATGGCGTAAAAATAACACCACTGGACCACCTTTTAGGGGTAAAGCATCAACAATCATGGGCTTAACATGTGTTACCCTCTGGTAATTTAACATAGCTATTGAAAATGGTGATTTATAGTGGATTTACCCATTAATAGCATGGTGATTTTCCATAGTTATGTAAACGTTTACCAGGCCGGGTATATCAGCTAAATCTGCTATGAATATGTTTCGAATGAACTTAAATATACAATAGTAAACATCATCAAGCGTTTTTTTTACGGAACTACTACAGTTACACCACCGTTTACACAAGCCTCTTTAGCGGAATCCCACCGAACTGGGGATGGGATTATTTATGGCTTTGTCAAAATGACTAAACCATCAATGAATCAATGGGTCAAAATGGTGATTTGATATGGATGTGATAAAAATAGATAAAGCCCAGAAAATATGTTCAAAAATAGGGTGATACACCAATGGATAATTGATATTTAGACTCACCAATGGATAATTGATATGGGTTTAAGTCTAAAAATAGAGAAAACCCAATTCCAAAGGGATTCAATTTTCAGAGCTATCGAAGCGGTGCAAAAAATCCCTGGCTGAAGCCCGAAATAAAATACGTTCTGGTCAACTTGCGCAATCTTGGGGGATAAATCATCCCAAACCATCCCAAATCAGTATCTAAAGTGAAACCAATAGAAACCAAACACTCATGTTGGGGGGAAGCATGCCAAACTTCATTGGCTTTCAGGGAATTTGCCTAACGTGTGAGAATGTGTGGTCTTGAAGCCAGGTGAATGTGGGAAACTTCACTTTTAACAAGAATAAACTTTCAACACATCCATGGACATAGGTCATGATGAAGCTGATGGCAGTCTGTTCATCAGATTCTGACGATCGCCACCTTGCCGTGCATACAGGCTTCTTCCACACCTGGCAGATACTGATAGCCACGGGTCAACCTATATGATAACACCAAAATTCAGAGGCCGAAAAGTGTGTTGCCAGGATGGTGCAATGTGAGGCCCCCCAGTTATAAGTTGGTTTAGATTCGCCCCAGTAACTATAGTTATAAATACCATGAACCATAGTTATTGGACTTATTTGCACCAACTTAGCTATCTTGGGGGCCTCACATTGTATAGATGATACTATTTACCTCATATTTCCAGGTTCCCACCTGCTATATCTAATAACAATTTTGCGGTGGCAACAAAAACATGTTCCCTTCATCAAACGAACTGGGAACAAATAGTCAATATAACATATTATGATTTGATTATATTGATGATATGATGATATGATTATCAAGAAATCAACCATGAAATCGCAAATAAATAAATATATGAAATGTAAGATAATGATAGATATGAGGAGATCCAACTCATGGAATGGGGATAATGCCCTGTATCCCGAACTATTTCAAGTCATATACAACCATTGAAAATACCATCGACACCCCGAGTTTGGAAGGTTGTGGGGGCCCCATTACACCATCTCATGACCAGCACTTCATCTCTGACCACTGGCCATATTCCGTCACCCATATGTTTGTTTTGAAATGTGTTGAATATCTTCGGCACAATAGCACCTTCAGTACGGAAACAAGTCACACCGGTGCGTACAATCATTCATCTTTTTCTACATGCCCGTTGCGGTCACCTATGTTTGTGGATTTATTTGTTTGGCTAAACAGTATTGGTCAGAGGCTCAGCCACCCCAAAAATGATGCAAATATACGCAAATACCATGGAGGACATAATCCCACCCTGGGAAAGAAAACACATTTCAGTTTTATTGGCTCTTTACCACATTGTTTGCTGGATATACTTGTTCCCTTTTTCGTGGGAGCACACCCGCATTCCTTGCTGCTTCAACTATAGTAATTACCCGCATTTTTTATCAAACTTTGCTCCGACGGGAGATTCAAACTGCCCCAAGTCCACTTCTCCCGAAACCACTTTTTTCGATCGTCTCATCTTTGGCCGCACGGGCATTCAGATGAAAACGAATGCACTGAATTAATATCAGTTTGAAGAGACAGGACCAGGTGCGACGATGAAAGATATGATATCAAGAACATTCAAGAACATTACTCTTACAGTAAGAATCGATCAATATTTCCACAGATGCCACCTGTCCGACTTGGAAATTTCCTTCGTAGACATTGCAAGCCTTGCGTGTATTGATGTTCGTTTTACCATGAATTCACAGAGCTCAATCTATGTACTTGGCAATTGACGACGCCAGCGCCAGCGCATGTTGGGGGCTTATGATGGAATCGGGTGTAAGGGATCACCAATGTTTGGACCATGGCACATAGCCTCTGGTCATTTCATATACCCTCTGGTAAACTGGTAAACATACAAAAAACTATGGAAAATCACCATTGCCAATGGAAAAATCAACTATAAGTGGCCATTTTCAATAGCAAACTGTTAGTTTACCAGAGGGTAGCTTTGGAAGCCATGGCTCATCTAGTTCCGTGATTTACTGTACTGAACTTCAAAATATTCAACAGCGATTTTCCATGGCAAACTGTCACAAAAAAAACATGAGAGTACCCCATGATATTCCCATTCAATAGCATAAAATCATATGAAATCCATTAAAATCCCATATCTTCCAACGATATTCCCATTCTAATTCCATTAAATTACATATATATATATATATCCCTACAGTGTGAGGCGCCCAAGATAGCTAAGTTGGTGCAAATAACTCCAATTTCACTATGGTTTATGGTATTTAAAACTATAGTATTCATGGGTTTAACAAAAACCAACACACATCACATTTAGGGGCCCCACATTGTAGTATCCCTAGTATATCGTGTAAAGTTTCATCATGGCAACTCCATGAAAAACTTCACAGTCTACCACTTGGGAACACTGCGGGGTTTTCCCCGCAAAATCCTGAGCTTTTCCTTGGCAATAATCAATAAGAACCAACAGGAATATACATTCTATAAATGGGCTTAGTTCAGTAGTTATAACATGTTATTACCCGGCAAATGGCCATAACAGTAGTCAATACTAATCAATACTGGTTGGTGGTTTCAACCCCTCTGAAAAATATGAGTTCGTCAATGGGAAGGATTATCCCATATATTCATATATTACCCTCTGGTTTTTTAACATAGCCATGGAAAATGGTCCATTTATAGATGATTTTCCCATCTATAAACCTCCATTTATAAGGGATTTTCCATGGCTATGTTAGTCAGAACCAGATGGTATGGAAAAATAAAAGTCATGTTTAAAACCACCTTACCCAGTCATTGTTATAACCAACAGGATGGGACCCCCTAACGGCCCTAACGTCGAGTTCGCTTACTCAGTTGCCTAAAAAAAAATGGCTGAATTAACTATGGTTTATGGATGTTATAATGGGAAAGTGATGATCATATATATATATGTATATATTATACCATCTGGTTATGACTATAATTAATGGGGGTTATTAATGGATCCAGTACATGGAGGTACGTCTAACGTACTTTTTTTTGGCAATATTTTCTGGTGATATTCAAAAATATCTTGAAAAAAATTGCAATATTTTGTTGGGAACACCTTTTTGGGCAATATGTTTTGGGGCAATATTTGTTTGGGAGTATTTTCCATGAAATTTAGGCCTGAAAAATAGGCCTTATCTATGGTAGGCACCTCCAATTTAGGTTCCTGAAATAGCCATTGAAATAACCAATAATAATAACTAATAATCAACCAATCAACTTGAGATTTTCTCATGGGGTATGTTTCTGATGTTATGCTATGTTTGTTCCCCTTTTATATCATCTAACACCCATAATCACCAATCAACATGGGTATTTTTCATGGCCAAAAAACGAGTTTTAACACGGCAAAGGGTACCGCCTTTCATAGCTCTGTCTCTTCCAAGTTTCAATCGCGCTTCAGAAAGTGCCGAGCAGCTCCTGATGGCGCAGCCCCTTTTTCTTTCTTCCTTGGGGCCAGTGCTGCAGTGCTGGGTGATCCTGGTTGAAAACATGGTCTCCCACTGGGTGGAGTTGTCAACTGTTTCATACCCAAATACTAGTGGCAACAGAATGTAGACCCATATGAAAAACCATGTGGATTTGTTTCCAACACTGATTTTTTGATCCCGAAATCTGGATACAACTCCAAGCATTTTCTGAGGATTGGATATGTTCACAGGATATAACGAGACATCCTCAACGATATGAAATAGGTATGTTTGACCGGAAATGAAGGGCCCAGGCCCCCAATACATGGCAATTCATACAATGTGGGGCCCCCCAGTGATGTTTGTTGGTTTATAAACCCCATGAATACTATAGTTTTAAATACCATAAACCATAGTGAAATTGGAGTTATTTGCACCAACTGAACGCTATCTTGGGGGCTCCATATTGTAGGGATTCTAAAAGATTGCATAGTACAGTATAATTTTAAATCCCCTTTTTTCATGCACCAACCGAAGGACCGAATGACCAATGCTCAAATATTCCTGCAACATCTGCTGGTCGTTGAATCACCAGACTGAATTTTTAGCTCAGCGTCTTCTCCGCTGCATTCCTCTTCTCTGAGTTTTCAATTCTTTGTCGCTCCTGGTGAGCAAATATTGCCAATCTTAGATACCGTGCAAAAAATGACAAATTATTTACTGGTTAGTAGATATTCCCATTGATACCAAAAGACTAAAGCATTAAAGTATCCATCGAAGATTGACCTAGCAAATATGACAGACAAAACTGAGGATGATGCGCTATAATGGAAAATCCCGCACTGGGTATTTCAATATATATATCTTAAACAACTTGATGTAAATTTGTTGCGAATTCAATTGAAGTTTCCGAGAAAAGAGGTGGGTACTCATTTAACCATGGCTGTCTCAATTCAGAAAGCATCAAATTTAGATGATTTGGGGATACCAAAATTTTGAAGAACATCCAAAACTGAGTGGCCAGCTACTCAAACACGGGAGGATGAACCCACCAACCGTCACTGGTGAGTCTTGTGGCCTTAGAAAACCTTTACAAATAATGTGCATAATGTGAATCTCATCAATGGGACCCAGAAAATTGGGAATAACAAACTATACAGTAATATTATTTAGAAATGGGCTACTCAATTATAACTAGAAAATTGGTGACTCCCCACTTATGACATCTTTTTACTCACCGACTATGTGGGATGGTCCTCCAAGTACTCGAAATCCTGCGATGTAGATCTTGGTGGTTTTAACCATCTTGAAAAATATTAGTCAATGGGGAGGATTATCCCCTATATTATTGGAAAATAAAACATGTTCCAAACCACCAACCAGAGATCTATCGCCAACGTCTTCGGGTTCAGACTGCCGGAAGCTTCGCACTGGTCCCAAAGATTGTGTGTCCCCCCCCCATCGAAAAAGTTGTTGTTTGTTTTGAAGAAAAATCGATGGCTTTTTTCGGGCACACTCAAATTTGCAAAAAACTCCCAACTTGGGAAAAAACAAACACGTTTTTATGGTTAATGGTGTAGAAGCCATAGAACCCATAGTCCACGTGACTGCCCGGGGATTTAACACAGCTATGGGGAAGTCTGGCCCTTTTGTAGACGAATTGCCTTTGTTTTTGCCGAAAAATTGTGATTTTGCCATTTGCCATAGCTATGTGAAATTACCAAGGGGTGAATCAACGATCACAACAAAAGGAATCAAGGCCCAACCGCGTCGTCCTGTTCTCTTCGTTTGAAATTCTTGCACCTGAATTCTCGGCTGTGCATACCAAGCACTAAGTGGGTAGCGGGGGTCATGAACTACCGGGCTTGGAAGTAATGTTTGGGCTTCGTATGCAACAGCCATGATGTATTTTTTCTTGTCAAAATAGAACACCCCCTATTCCAAGGAATTCTCAGGAAAAAAACTAATTTACCATTTTAGGGTATCCCGTGATATGAAACAGGCGGAGTTTTGATCCCATCGATCGTGTCAGCTGTGTGCCTCGTTGCAAGCTCTTGGTTTGCGAGCTGCAGCAGCGTTTTTTCCTCCTTAGAATCGACCGAACCAAAAACGCAAGGGACCTAGGTTCTGCTCAACATGTTGGTTCATGACTCTTGGGCAATCAAACTGACGTATCATGTACCCTCAGTTTTTTTGTTAAACAATTTTTATTTTTTTTAAACATAGCTACGGCTGATAGCCCATTCAGTTCAATGATAAACATGATGATTTACCTATAAAAATGCTGATCTTCACAGCTACGTCAAATAACCAGAGGGTATTGTCCTGCTTGTCATGCTGTAATCATCTCTTGATTTGGCAGGGATCAGGTCAAGTCATTGAGTTACTCAAAAAAAAACAAAAAAAGACCAAACATTTATGCATAGCCTGATTTTTTTTATCAATGTTTCATCAACTTATCTCAATTTGTCTGAAAATAAATATCGGGCTACCCTGAAATTTGATTCTTAATCGTCGTTTTTCCTATGGAAAATCTACCAAATGGGTGCTCATCCATCAAAATCAGACCCATATCATACCGTCCTTAGTACTTCAAAACATAGGAACCATGTGGGGCCCCTAAATGTGATGTGAACGTTGGTTTATAACCCCCATTAACTATATAGCTATAAGTATCATAAAGCCTAGTTCTTGAAGTTATTTGCGGCAACTTAGCTATCGTGTGGGGTCCAACATTGTAATATTATAAAATATATTATATATATATAAACTCATGGGATGCATATTTTTTTTTATAGAAACATACGGACACATCCGCGCCTCGCACACCGAAAGGCTGTGCTTCAGCTCACAATGACGATCCTGACGGCGGCGTTTGATCCAGAAATGATGGGAACTTCACCAGCAAAAGTGAAGTTTCATCCAGCATTTCATGCAATGTGAGGCCCCCGTTCGATAGCGTTCAGTTGGTGCAAATAACTCCAATTTCACTATGGTTTATGGTATTTATAACGAACTAGTTACTGGTGCGAATCTAAACCAACAAACATCACGTTTGGGGGCCCCACATTGTATGGATTCGTATGAGTTGACCAAGAATATTGTTCGATCCTGTACGCAAAATAGCTGCTTGGTGGTGGAACCCTACCCCTCTGAAAAATATGAGTTTGTCACTTGGGATGTGTGGTGGCGTCGCGGTGATGTCCCGGAACCCCAGGATGATTGAAGGCTTCCAACTTAAATTTCGGGCACGTTGAGCAATATGTTTTCCGATAAACATATCCCATTCGTACCGTCTAGACGCCTCCATCCCGCCTGAAGCCTCTCATACTTGCAAATCAGTTGGTTTCTCACAATGGCCTGGCAGTGGCACCGGGGCTCGCCATGGATTTCTGTCGACGCCACATACGACGACGACAACTTCAACTTGCGATGGGATCAGGGGTGAACATTCGAATTTATCAAAACAAAACTTGGGGAACAAATATGTATAGCCTATCATATAGCCTATCTATGCCTATTTTATGTGTTGGAATTCCAATACTATTGTTAAAAAACAAAAAACACAAAAACATATTTTATCTGGTTGGTGGTTTCAGCCTACAGTACCCCTCTGAAACATCATGGAGTGTTCGTCAGTTGGGGTGATTATTCCATTCCCAACTGAATGGAAAGTCATAAAATTCCATGGTTCCAAACCACCAACCAGTTATAGATCATTTTTCACATTCTCCATCAACCATTACCAACCATTACTAACCACTATTAACCATCACTAAACATTGGCTTTTTCAAATATATATATATATATATCATATATCCCATCAAATATCCCTACTATGGTTGGCTATAAATCCCATATATTATGGAAAAATCAAAGTCATGTTCCAAACCACCAACCAGTTTTCATATATGTTCATAAGAACACCCAAATCGAAGTTTCAGAATCTGCTGAAAACGGAGTCCAGCTGAGTCCAGATCTTCGTCCAGCTGGAAGATTTTTGGACAAAGAACTGAGTCAGCCCACATAACAAGGCAGATTGGCAAGTACCCTCTGGTGAACTAACATAACTATGGAAAATCACAATTTTTAATGGGAAAACTCACTATAAATGGCCATTTTCAATAGTTATGTTAAATTACCAGAGGGTAACCAATCCAAGTAATCCAAGACATTTTTTTCTGAAGTTGAAAGCTCACCGCCAGCCCAGAATTGCAAGGCTTTTAAGAAATCCTGCGCAATAAAAGGAATGACTCGAAATGGGAAATTACAGACTACTTTGTGCAAAAGAAATTGTTCACTTAACATCATTCAACTATATTCTGGGTCATCAACACAAAGAAGAAACCACTCGTATCTTTCCTCTCGCGCCCTGCCTGATGGTTCATCGTCTGCAGTGCCCTTAATGGAACTGGATGGATCCGGATAAATATTGGAGTGAAGGGATGCATGAAGGGATGCATATCCTCAAATATATAAAGTATAATAGTACTATAGTATAATATAGTTGATCAAAAATATAATAGTTTAGCAATAATACTATTAACATCTATTAACTGTATTATATTAATCAAATAGTTTATAATAGTAGATTCACTGTATTATAGTATAATATATAGATAAACTATATAAAATGCTGTGGGAGTAGCAATAGACTCTCGACCACTGAAGAACACAGGCGAGAACAATCGGCAGGGTAAAGAAGACCACTGAAGAACCCAAGAGGACAAAGAGTGGAAACAGAAAGGATTTCACTCCTCCATCGCTGCAAAAAGTAGGACCATGCCGGCTATTCCATTCCATTATAGTGGTTGATGAAAGGCTACCCTCTGGTAAACGTTTACATATACTGGTTGGTGGTTTCAACCCTCTGAAAAATATTAGTCACATGGGATTATTATTCCCAGTATATGGGAAAATAAAAGTCATCTTCCAAACCACCAACCAGTATAGCTATTGAAAATCACCATTTCAATAGGCAAGACATCTATTTCTATGCTCTATTTTCCATAGCTATGTCTGTTGAATTACCAGAGGGTCATCCCAGAAGTTTAGTAACCCGACAGTCATACCAATAGATGTACATATATGACACATATGACATATATAACATTAACATATATATATACATATTACTATAATAATATATGATAATATATATATATCTTACATTATATTACTATAATGGACTAAATATATATATATAATATTGCTGCTTGTAGATTCCCATGATAGACAAAAATCTTTTCTCCATGAGATTTCCGCAGTGCGGCCGTGCTTCTGTTCCAGAGTCCCACCATTTGCAGGGCGCTCTTGAAGTTCTTTGGAGGCGAATGCAAACAGCTCCTGGCGCCCCTTGAGATGACAGAGCTCAAAACCACGAGAAAAATCACCCCTATACCATTGTGGCGATCATTTCATGGAGGGCAATCCTAGTTTCAGATTTTGAAGTCCGAGAATTGCGGATCTTCAGACATCTTTCCGGACAAAATGCAAACTTTTGCAAGCTCATTAGAAGTGATTCTACTTAGATTTGACCAGAAATCCCAAAAAGTCATCAAAAAGCGCATGTACGCAGAAAAGATGGGTCGGTGGCCACCCACACCGGTGGGTGACTGGCAAACATGTTTTTTTGGATTGTAAAAACAGGCAAAACTCCGCTCCTCTTGTAGTCGGAGGAAGTCTTTTGTCTCCTGCAAAGGTAGGGTTTTGGCTGCATGGATAGTGGTAGAATTGGTTACTCCAAGAATAGCAAGAATTGGATGGTGGATTAAAGAATACGATTATCAATTTTCTATCAAACATTGAAGTGTTACTAATTTTGGTTGCCCCCCAAGAATCCATCTATCATTCCCGAAGGTGCACTCGTTTACTCTTTTTGTTCCGTCTACATCTCGTTTGCAATGATGGCATTACATCAACCCAAGGCAATAAAAGGGATCCCAAACGGCCTTTCTGAACAGCCATTCTATGGTAGTATTTTCCAATCATTAACTATGGATACATTGAAACCATTCACTGCAGAGAGAAAGCCATGAATCCCTTGGATGCTTTTTTCACTCGAAATCGATGCTATGGCACATTATGGCACTGATAAAATCGCCATCCACCTTGTGGAGAAACCACAGGGTGGGCGAATTGGACCCATTCGACCCATTCGACCCATTCGACCCATTCGACCCTCGCCCTGTCTACTGGATCATCCTCATAACCATTACCCTGTAATCGAACAGACCGGAAAACCCATGATTTCGATGAATTTCCCCAGCTATAAACTATTCTGGTTGGTGGTTTCAACCAACACTTACTGTAAGGAACATGTCAACTTTTGCTTCGTTGCAATCTCGGGTCAACACAAGGCGCCTGGCCGTTTGAAGATGTATGAAGTGGATATCATTCCAATCAACATAGGATCATATAAAATAGTACTATATTCGGACTCGGACATGGGTTGATGAAAAAAATATTCCCCACTGCAGAGATATTCGTATCTCAAAATGAAAATCCAATTTTATAACACATTGGACGACACGCAAACTTACAGCCCGCTTCTTTCTTTGAAAAATAGAAGCCTCCCCAGTTTGTAATCATTTTCCCTATCAAAATCATGCATGGATTTTGTCAAAATGACGTCATAAATTTGGGATCATTCAAGTAGCCTACCCGTATGCTCCATGGTGCTGGAATATTTACCAACATTTGCCCCATAAATGACCCAGTTTTGTAGGTAAATATACCATACATGGAGCATATGGGCTAAGTAGCCCAAATCCCAGAAATCTGGAAAAACCTAATTGTTATTGTTCATCTGATGTACAATTATATAAATTATTGTTACGTCTATTATATTATGATATGAATTATTGTACAATTTTATAGCCTAATTATTATGTGAATTTATAGAATGCCCACAGTCTGCAGCCTCTTTCGCCAGCTCAGACTGGATCGTCTTGTCCTCAGCCAAGCATCGAAAGCTTCGCTGAAATCACCCAGAGATTTGACCAAAACGTATAGGCGTTGTTCGTTACAGAACCCAAGATGCGGTCGTTCCGAAACCCCTAGAAAACCATAGGAAAACCATAGGAAAACCAAAGGGAAACCATAGGAAACCAGAGGAAAACCAGAGGAAAACCAGAGGAAAACCAGAGGAAACCAAAGGAAAACCAGAGGAAAACCAGAGGAAAACCAGAGGAAAACCAGAGGAAAACCATAGGAAAACCATACTGTGGATGGTTGCGAAATCCTAAAAACCACCAAAAGGATGGTTGAAAGCCTATAAATAATGGGATGTTTACCACTGTTTTCAACTGGTGCAGGATTTTGAAACCATCCACCGTATGGTTTAATATGCTTCAATATATTTGATATGGTTTGATATTCAGAGATAAGGTTTGGCTCCAACTTAAAGATGGGGAGTATGAGCCAACAAAAACAGGTGCTCAGATACTCAAGCACTGATAATGGATATAGGTCAACATGTGGATTCGCGACAGGAATTATGATTGGTGACCATGCTTAGGCTTCCCCAGCTACAATTGGCATAACCCAGTGCTGGAGTCCCAACCACATACATGCTCTAATGATGGCGCAAATAACTTACAAATTGTCTTCGTATTACACTAATCGAAATAAACTCTTAGCCCCTTCAAAACACCTGGTAGTCACCCATCACTGTGCAAGGAAACCAGATCTACAAAACATGTGCTTTTTGGATTTGCCAAGCAAAGGTGCTGAATAACCATCCATGACGCGGCTCAAGACATTCCAGAATGGCCTTGAAACCCCAAAGCATCCGCTTCAAATTGTTTTGTCTGAAAGTCATTAGGCAGAATGTTGGTATACTACATCTAGTTGAATTCTTTGATATCAATTCCAGCACGCACCAAAATATCGAAAAGTCAAGTCTCAGACTGAAATCATGACTGTCTATGCCTTTAGCTTTTACATACTTGAACTTCTACATCTACGACTCTACATATTTGGAGAGCAGTCTTCTGTTGGGGCTCGGGTGCCCGTGGATTGCCATCTATTTCTGCTTGGATTTAAGCGCTCCATTTCTGATCTCACATCACATGTCCTGACCTTTCGGTGAATTTCATCCAAAATGGGAAGGTCTATTCTTCTTGAAAAATGATGGAGTGAAAGTCAATGGGAAGGATGACATCCCATGTATGAAATGGAAAATAAAAATCCATGGCTTGAAATCACCAACCAGTATTGTTACCACATTCTTCCCTGAAATTTTCCCCGTAGATTTCCCAAATCCAGGCCAAAAAGACTTCCGACCATTTGCGAATGTTCAAGGCACGTGCTGCCTGCTGGCCATCTCCTTCTTCAGTCCCAGGCGTTGACGCAGCTGGCGTCGGAACTGGTAGGCCGTGGAAAGCTTGGGCGTGTAGGGAGTCATCCAACGATCGTCCCTGGTGAAGCTCGAGGCTTTTGGAGATCAAACATCGGGATATCATATTGATAATTTAATATATATATATATATATAGTATATATAGTGATATAGTGAGAACACAATGTGGTTTAACTTGTTGTTTTCATCAATCAAACGATATTTGATATTTCATGAACCATCATAGATGTCAGATTTTTCGCCATGTTTAACCCAATGAAGATCGGGGTTTAAGCCATCAGCATCCAGAATGGGGGATTCCACTGATCTCAGCGGAGGGCCGCTGCCTGGTGGCCATTGGATGGCATTTTTTGGTGCTTTTGGTCCGACCAATTCGTTTTTGGAATCCAAAAATCATGGGTGTACTGCAGATATACCCTCTGGTGATTTAACGTAGCCATGGAGAATCACCATGTTTATTGGGGAAATCATCAACAAAAATCTATAAATGGACCATTGTCCATAGCTATGTCAAATAACCAGACAGTAAATCATGAAATAAATCCCTGTGAAATCAAAGGGTATTTCAGGATCTGAAAATGGAGGTACGTAAACGTACCATATAAGACCATATCTTGTGGGTATATCCTCTTACATAGCCCTGATATAGGCCTTATATATGGTAGGTACCTCCAATTTGGGTTCCTGGAATGGCCATTGATGAAAATGGATTAATGACCAACATATGGATATACAACCCCAACTGTGGCCATCATCTAGCAGCTGTGGTGATTGGAATGTTGAAATATAATCCACACAACTGCAATGCTCAATGGGTACGGGGAGGAAAAAAGGGTACAAACATATCTATATTCACCACAAAAGGTGCTTATTTATATATATATATATATACATACATATGTATATAAGTAATAGTAATAGACTAGTATTGAGAAATTATTGCCATTTCAATCAGAACCTGAATAGCATGGACCATTGAAATTTCCCTTTTCCAAGGGAACTGATGCGCTTTGCATCACAGCGTGTAGGAGCTGACACAAAGCTGCAACGATCTACTTCTGCTACCGGCCACTTGTAGATCAAATCGCCATACTGGGTAATATGATATGGCATAAACCACCCCCGATTTACCTGTCAAAAATTGGGCGTAGTTGAAACATGTTGAAACCATACCCTTCAAAAATGGAATCATTTTTTTGGCTTCCAGCAATATACTACACAGCTATGGCAGTCCAATTTCATCACAAAATCCCGAACATTGAAATATCCCGGCTGCAACGTTATTTCGGCCAGGAACTTCCCAAGCTTCGGATTCTCCTCATCCTCATCCTCGTGCACATCTTCGTGCTCATTCTGCCACTTTGACCTGAAGGCGGAGACCCTCTCTTGCAAGTTACAATGGCTACTTGGTGGCTCATCCCACTTAGTAAGTGGGTTATAACATGTTATAACCCCAGTTATAAGTGGATTAGCCCTACTTATCCCATTTATAGCTGGGGCTATAACGCACTTACGAGCCGTGGGATGAGCCACCAAGTAGAACTAAATGGAGGTTGATAGCTGGGAAAACCGTCAAACTAAATATGAAGTTTTTTTAATAGATCACCAGAGGGTCTAGTGCTATGTACTCGCTTGGAACCGAAAGCCCTTCATGTTTCTGGATTGTGCCCTGACAAAGCCATGACCTTCAGCTAAAAAAAACTATCTCAGGAAGTCTTGAAGTTGTGTAAACCCAAATTGTCCGGCATCCAACAGACAAGTCATGAACCAAGGAAGGTGCTTATTTTGTGAGGGAGCAATCTGGTCATGAACCAAACATCTGGATATGGTTTCAAGTGCAAAATTGAAGGTCAAATCAAAAAAGTTGGGTGAATCGGTCATCCGGTAGTTTCAGTCCCCATGAAACAATGACTCTTTGAGGCTCATTTACATCGTCATCGTCATCGTCATCGTCATCATCATCATCATCATCCTCATCATCATCACCATCACCATCTTCATCATTGACGTCGTCGGCATCTTCATTTTAATTGCAATCATTATTAAAAAAAAAGCAGCAACCAGCAAGAAACATAAACAAACAACACAAAACAACTTGAGGTGAGAAATAAAACTCACCCCACTATAGATGTTTTGGTCACCACTTTGGCCATATGACCACGTCTTCCGATTATATCTCTACTTGGGGCTGGTAAAAAGGTCGGCTGGTTGGTGGAACCATCCATCAGCTGTCAGCCACTGGTTATTTAACATTAACATTGCTATGCGATGACCCAGTTGGATGATCAACATGATGATTTACATCTTTTAAAAAAATGTGATTTTCCCACAGCTTCGTTAAATAACCAGTCATACTGTGGATGGTTGCGAAATCCTGCACCAGTTGAAAACGGTGGTAAACATCCCATTATTTGTAGGGCTTCAAACATCCTTTTAGTGGTGCAGGATGTTGCTACCACCCACCGTATTAAGTCATATTTTTCATAAACCTCAGTTCAAGGGAACATTGAAGAACTACCCTCTGGTAAACTAACATAACTATGGAAAATCACCATTTTCAATGGGTAAATCCACTATTTCTATGGTCATTTTCAATAGCTATGTTAAATTACCAGAGGGTATCAAGGAAACCACAAGCGCGTGTCTTTTTTGCTGCTGCTATTCCTGCATGTTTGCGAATGACCATCCCGTCCAGAAACATCGAAATCTGGTATATATCCATCATCGCTTCCAGCAATCGTTTAGTGTCCTATAGGACTGCGCATATGTAATGAACGCTTAATCTGGTTGGTGGTTGACCTACCCCTCTGAAGAATATTAGTCAGTTGGGATGATTATTCCCAATATATGGAAAAATAAAAAATGTTACAAACCACCAATCAGTTTATATATAGACTTATATAGACCTATGTATATATAGAGTTGTATCAACCACCCGTTTGGAATCCCGCATGTCAAATGGAGGCTTCAACTGTTCCATTTGTGGCTGCAACAAGATTTTGACTGCTGATATCCCCAAATTCTTGCTACTCAAATCCCTTCTTTTTGCCAGTCAATCCCACTCTTGGGCAAATGAACTTGTTTAATTAATCCGAAAATCAATTCCATGCATGTATCTCTTTAAAAAAATATGTAACTATAAAATTCCCAAGCAATTTTCTGAATCAAACAAATCTTCATCGACAGGACACCGAGCCTGAGATCGCTAGCGAATTGCAGCATCCAGGGCACCTTCATCTGCAGCAGTTCCTCCTCCAACAGCGGCGGTTCCTCGTTCGCGGCGTTCGCGTCGCGGTCGGAGCACCTCAGCCGAAGGGCCGGGAGGGGAAGATTTTCCGGAAATGGATGGGAAATGGATGGGAAATGGAGAAAGGTGCCCATTTGGAGAATTTCACCGGCTTATGATTGATTGACTGGGATAAAAAGCTGGATAAAAAATGGGAAGTTTCATGGGATTTCCATGGGATTTAGATAGCTAAATTGAGTAAATATACCACCATGAGAAATATCCCATAGGATCCATGCATGCTATATATGGTAACATGGATCCCATCAATATACCCCAGTCATGTTAGCATATATAGCAGCACCATGGATCCGTCATGGGTATTGTTGGGTAAGGCGGCCATATCAAATTGCTACGGCCTGGTACGGGATCTGATCTGCGTCGGCCCCATCCGCGGATATCCGCGGGTGGCGCCATGTCCAACGCTGGCATACAAGGTGGTGCCCCTCTATAAATTGCTGATAAGCCCACAATGGCATAGTATGTTTTTCTTTCAGCTATGGCATATTTTGATCTGCAACATCCATTAACTTTTTTTGAGAATATGTCTCATAAACCCTACAATGTGGGGCCCCTAAATGTGATGTGAATGTTTGTTAACAAAAGCCCCAGTAACTAGTTCGTTATAAATACCATAAAACATAGTGAAATTGGAGTTATTTGCGCCAACTGAACGCTATCTTGGGGGCCTCACACTGCATTAACTAGTTCGATATATCAACAACAAAAACCATTGTTATTGGAGTTATAAACGCACCAACTGAACGCTATCGCACGGGGGCACCATCCTGTATCCACTGCTGGTCATAGAAAAAGTAACAAAAAAGTATCTGGCAATCAACATGTGATATCATGTAGTCAATTACCCTTTGGTAAACGCTTACATAACTATGGAAAATCACATTTTTTCATGGGAAAATTCACTATTTCTATGGTGGATTCTTCCATAGTTATGTTAGTCAGTTAGTCATTACCAGAGGTATTTTTTATGGCTGGGAAATCCGCGACCATCTTTTGGGGGATTGGCAAATCTCCAGCACACTATGGTTGCCCAGGTGTCCATAATTCAATGGGATATTCTCTGAAATTTAGGCCTGAAAAATAGGCCTTATATATGGTAGGTACCTCCAATCAATCGGTTCCTGAAATGGCCATTGAATAATTATGCTTGCCGCACCCGCACAGTGCACAGTGCAATACAAGCAGGAAATTCATGAAACTGTGGGCTACCCATCTACCCGAAATCTGTATTCAACCATGGCATCAGAAATCTGCAGATTCCATCAGAATTGAGCAATTCACACATATATATTATATGGTTTTTACAATTGATTCACATTGTTGGTCATATCCCCACTATCCACAAACCCCAATTTACGTCTTCACAACCTAATCACTAACTAGCTCAAATCCATATCTTAGTTGAAGTTCAACCCCCATGAAACCCCCTGATTCTACCGTAAATCCATGGTAAATCCCAGATTTTTCTTGGGAAACTGCCCCTCAGCGCGCCTGCCGCGCATGGCCAGAGCCTTCTTGATCCGTGCCTGTGCGCCCTCTCGGAGACCTACCAGCGCCTCGGCGAAGTTGGTGATTTCCCATGGGGATTTCATCGGGATGAATGATGATTTACCCTCTAGTCATGACTAACATAGCTATGGAAAATGGCAATAGAAAATTCGTTGATTTACCCACTAAAATCATGATTTTCCATTTTTTTTGTATGTTTACCAGAGGGTAACGTATGATTTCCCAGGGGCCGGCATTGGTATGTCATGTTTAAAAAAACTGCGGCCGGGAACTTAATGGGATTGAACTAGCGAAGTTGGTGAACATAATTTGGTGAACTATTGGGCAACAACTACAGTTCATGAGGTAAAAATAAACCAACAAACATCACTGGGGGCCCCACCTTGTAATGATGGTATTTCACACCCTTACATCTGAGTCTCTTAAAAGTCAAGTTTCCAAACAAACAAATTCTGGGATAATTGGGGCATCCGAGACATAACATAATATGTCTGTATCCATCCATATACCTTGGATAAATTATAGGAACTCAGCCTGAAATAATTGGTCATTTTGAGCTGGTTACAGTACCCCAATCCGAACCATCATCCCAATGACGTCGCGGTCAGGTCGTTGCAGTTTATCCCACATATATATATATATATATGTATACAATAATGTCCTTTTGGTAAAAATAGAGGGGCCGGTTTGGTATACCATCTATCATCAAACAAACCTGTTGTTGAAGGGGTAAACAAACCCCTTTATGAATCAACCAACCAATGGGAAAAGGACATTTATGGTTAAGGAAAATATTGGAGATTAGATATATCCAGTAGTATAATGTAATAATTATAATTAAAACAGTAGACTTGTGAATTGGCTAAAAATGATGAATTGGATCACATCATGCAAAGTTGTCGAACATATGTAGATGTATATTGGGATTTCCCTGAAAACGCGCATGTAAAATAAGAGGCTTGGATTTTCAGGCAAAAAAAGGTGGATAATCAGAGTTCTGAACAAAATATATCCATATCTCATGGGTGTTAACGTTCCCAACAATCATCTTGTTCGTTACATATCCCATTAAATCTCCACTTACATTCTCATCAGGTAATTATAGATCATCCATGTGTATCCATGTGTTGGTAATCTTGTATTGATATCATCCAAAATCAATGCACATGATATGCTCAGTCATGCCAACCCCGGATTAAAAAACCATAGTTGATTATTTATTCATATTTATTCGAAGGAAGTTTAGAAGTCAAACTTCCGACAATATGGACAAATGAAAAGCGGAGGTGGGAAGAGTCAGAGAAGAGAAGAGAAGAGAAGAGACGAGAGAAGAGAAGAGAAGAGAAGAGAAGAGAAGAGAAGAGAAGAGAAGAGAAGAGAAGAGAAAAGAAGAAGAAAGAAGATCAAAAAAGAGAAAGTCTCAGAAGAAAGAAGATCCAGGTGCGCGAAAAGGTAGGAAAGTCGCGAAACACGGTGTTTTTCCAATGATTTGTGGCTCTGGAGGGTCGAAAAGTAGGCTCGCTAAAGCGACGGGTGCGGAGCCCACTGGGCAAATGAGAGATGAAAAATTGCACGCCTTTGTGGCGCGAAGCACATTTCGAAGTCAAAATGTAGATATGTCGAAAAAGTGCACGCCGTTGTGGCGCGAAGCCCATTTCGAAGTCAAAATGTACAAAACACACCAGGTCCGGACCACTTTTGGAAGTTGAGATGTCGAAAAAGGTGTACGCCGTTGTGGCGCGAAGCACACTTGCAAGTGAAAAAGCTAAAAACACCTCACGTTCGGACCCTTTTTTTGAAGTTGAGATGTCGAAAAAGTGCACGCCGTTGTGGCGCGAAGCACATTTCGAAGTCAAAATGTTAAAAACATTAGGGGTTCGGACCACTTTTGGACGTTCAGATGTCGTTTCGCGTGGCAGGCGCAAGGGATTGTGCACCTTGTCAAAAGTGAGCAAAACGTGAGGGTTTTGTAGCATTTCCAAAAACGATGGCAGGCGTGGGACATTTGAAGAGGATCTGCAAAGATTCATTTTCCGTGGCAGGCGCAATACAAGAGACATGTTCATCACAGCTGTTAGGAGGTCCGGGCGCTGATTTCATGAGACGGGTTGCATTTTGGAGCATCAAATCTTCAGGTTTGCTGAGATGATTTTGCGTGACAGGTGCAGCACTTCGTATGACCTGGCATCACTTTTTTGTGGCAGGCACAGTAGTTTAGAGAGGTGGAGTGGAAAAATCGCAAAACGTATTGGTACGAGGCCGTCAGCTCTGCACTCAACTTTCCATTCTTGAAGGACATCTCGCAGAATTGCTTCGTTTTTGATGTGGTCAAGTTCAAAAATTGAGGGGGTCTCGCAGAATTGCTTCGTTTTTTTGACGTTGTCAAGTGCAAAAATTGAGGAAGTCTCGCTGAATTGCTGCTTTTTTTTATGTTGTCAAGTTCAAAAACTGAGGATCTCGCAGAAGAGCTTCGTTTTCAAGCTTGCAGAAAGACAGAGAGACAGACAGACAGACAGACAGACAGAGATAGATTAGATTAGATTAGATTGGATTAGATTAGATTAGATTAGAGTAGAGTAGATTAGATTAGATAGATAGATCGATAGATCGATCGATAGTTAGATGGTTACATAGATAGCTAGGTAGGTAGATAGGTAGGTAGGTAGATAGTCAGAGAAAGAGAGAGAAAGAGAGGAGACCTCAACCACCTTTCGATCCATCAGTGGCTTCGCTCTGCCATCCGTGATTCACAACAACCAACTTCTCCTATAGGTTTCCTATTTTGAAACTTCCGCCACCGCCTTGTGCGGTACTACTGGTAATTAGGGAGGTACTTCCCCAGTAGTCATAATCTGATACTTAAATGATACCCCCAATTAAACAGCCTCAGGGTTTATTAATCTAGGATTGACATTCTATTATAATTCATCTATTGATATCATCAGTCCCATTATACTCCCATTATATTCCCATTTTTGTTGGTTTCTGCCTCCATGTTTCATTATATCCCCACTATGATTGGTTATAAGTTATAAATCCAAAGTATATGATATTCCCATGATATTCCCATTAAACCACCATTAAATTGCCATAAATTTCTATCAAACACCCATTAATCAGCTATATTCCTATTATATTCCCACAATAATCCCATCAAATCACCATCAAATCCCGTTAAATATATAGATATTCTTTGTTTAAATCCCATTCATGCGATATGTGTATAGATATATATACATATATTATACACCTTTAATAAGTCCCTATTCACAATATGTCCCATGAAATATATATTATAGAACATGACATATCATAGAATATTCGAGGTTCTCTTTGTTTCAATCCCATGAAACACAGAAAATATCATGATGATATTTTCTGTGTTTCATGGGATTGAAACAAAGATATATGTATCTATTATTATATACACATTTAAGTCCCTGTTGAAGTTCCATGAAATATCCAAAATCCCATGATCTTCCGACATTTCCCACGAGCGCTCCAAGAGACGCAGTGCAGTTCCGTCGCATGATCCAACGAGACGATGTGATCCGCGCGGACCCGGAAGCAGCGCCAAGAGACGTCCACCTTTTCAGCGACGCGACCGGTGATGGATGCCCAATGACGACATAATGTAGATCTGTTACATATCATGTATAATTTTGCTATATTTATATATATATAAATATATATATAGTAGTAGAAATGCTTGACAGTGCGAATCTTAGTTCAACAACCAGAGGATGTAAAATCTACAGCAAATTAAGTTGTTTTTCTTACATACTAATACTCATCGATGAAAAGGCAGTTTGTCAATGTAGTCAACGAAGAATATGCTGGTAGCATGAGTTTTTTAATAGGAAAGATCAACGAAGAGTTGAAAATCACGATGTGAAAAATCTTTCCATTGTGGGTTGATCAATGTTGATCATATTCAGCAGATTCCTCTTTTTTCCCCACTCAAATCGCGATATTCCCATCTTATTTCGCATTCCGTTGGTACCCTCTGGTAATCTAATGTAGCTATAAAAAAAATGGACCATTTAGTTCGGTGATTTACCGAACTTATAGCATGGTGGATCTTTCCAGTTCGCTATGTAAACGTTTACCAGAGAGAGTAATCCCAATATCATCCCCTATAAATCCCTATAAATCCCTATAAATCCCGATAAATCACCATAAATCCCCTATAAATCCCTATAAATGATGCTGTAGTCGCCACAATGCGATGATTCAAAAAGAGCCCCCGTTGTGAAACTCCGCCAGCAGATGGACTTTCGATGGCCCAGGCCAGCTGTGTCAAATGGGAACAGCCTGGTGATGAAAACGTCAATTGGCGCAGCATACCCTCTGGTAAACTAATAGTTTGCTATTGAAAATGGCCATAGAAATAGTGAATTTTCCCATTAAACAATATCAAACATGGTGATGTTCCATAGTTTTTTGTGTGTTGACCAGAGGGTATTTCCAGCCAAACCATGGCCATTTCTAGGCTTTGATAACCACAAAAACACCTGATTTTTGACCCACTGACCTGACACAATGGACCCATCTGCTGAAACCGCCACAAAGACCGCACCTGATACTCTCCATTTCTCTTACGAGTCAAGCCTGTGCCGCTCTTCTCGGACAAATCGTTCCGCAGGCCTCTCGCGCAAAATGCACCAAACATGGCTGGCCAATCCCCCACCATTTACTTCGCTGATTTTCGAAGTCTCCAATTCAACAAAAAGGGCTTCCCAGCCATGCGAGCAGTGTTGAAATCATTCCATGTAATCCTGGTTGGTAATCCCGTTCTTGGACTATTGGAATCCCCAATATATAAAGGGTGGATTTTCATCCCCCAACTAATCATCAACCAACAGGGGTTTAGCAGCCACTGCTCATGTAGCTGAGGACACCTGAAGATATATTACTGGCAGAATGGTAGAATTCACCAACCTGAACATAATTAAAACCATTTGGCGATGATTGCCGTCATTGATGTCACCTTCAGGTCATGATCAAATTCATCCAGATCTATTCTTAACCATCTATTAAACCATGAGTTTTGAACTTCCGTTGAACAACCAAGCTTTGTATTCCCTGTAGCTATTAGCTATTATAAATAAACCTTTCCCCCCTATGATATTCCAATGGTAATTACCCTCTAAACCACTCTTTGTGCTGGTTAAAGTTCAATCCCAGTTTTACTTCATCCAAATGCGCATCCGTTGCGCCGTTGCGCCTTCTTTCGGCTGCCCCTTCATCCTCTCACGCATCAGCTGTAAGAGCTCGTGGATTTTCAGCAGTGACGCGAGATCCACATGCGACAAGGTCTCCTGGTGAGTCAACTGCAACTTGGGAATGGGATTTCTGTTGGAGACAATGTCCACATATTATACACTTATATGTACGTATGTATGAATTAAGGAATGAATGTATGCATGTATGCAAGTATGCAATGTATGTATATCATTGTATATCCCAGAACCATTATCCCAATTATGATCCCATTAATATTCATCCCATAAAAATCCCCAGCGCAGTGAGATCCCCATTAAGATTCCCATTTTATCAACAGGAAATCCCATGAAATCCACATTTTCTTTGGAGTTTATAGCCATGTAAATTCCCATTCATTCCCATCTGGCTGGTGGTGACCTACCCCTCTGAAAAATATGACTTCGTCAGTTGGGATTATTCTTGCCAACTGAATGGAAAAAATGTTCAAACATGTTCCAAACCACAACCAGCCATTCAACCACATGAAAACACCATTGATCCCATCAAGCTCCCATTAGTTCCTACAATGTGAGGCCCCCAAGATATAAGTTGGTTTATAAGCCCCAGTAACTATAGTTATAAATACCATAAACCATAGTGAAATTGGAGTTATTTGCACCAACTGCACGCTATCGAACGGGGGCCTCACATTGTATGAGAATAATCCCATGAACATGTCGCCATTGGTCGCCAAAATCACCGTCCTTGGGAAGTCTTTTCATCAGCAAAGCGACCAACATGGACTTCGCAACTTCTTCGACACATGGCGGCCTTGGAAGACGATATCCGTCCCACAGATTTTTTAAATGCACCTGTTCAGGTGGTAAACATCCCATTATCCCATAGAATAGTAGCGGTGTTTCATAGGAATCCCAAAAGTAACTGGTGCAGGATGGCTTGTCCACTGTAGGAATGGGAAAGGCACAGAGGTTTCAACGGGAAAAAAACATCGAACTAAATGGCTGATTTCCAGCAAGCCGTTTCAGCAAGCCGGAGGCTAACCAAGAAAAAACGGGAATTTAGCCATGAAAAACAGGGATTTGGAGCCCCCCCGGTTATAAGTTGGTTTATAAACCCCATGAACTATAGTTGTAAGTATCATAAACCCTAGTTATTGAAGTTATAAACCAACTTAGCTATCGTAAACAGGGGCCCACATTGTAGGGTTTTTTGTTGTTATCATTTAACCGACGAGTTTGGAAGTTTTACCATGAAATGAAAATTGGATTTATATGATTTATATGGATTCATGACTTGTAAGGGAGACAAACCATTTTGCTTGTGGGCTAACTCCTCCATTTTGTTTAGTTAGATATCCTGTTTTGTGTGCTAAAGCCCAACGTTCGCTTGGTGAAATCATGGTCGTTTTTGTCTTTGGATTTTGGTTGGTTAGATCCCCTCATTGCCTGGTCAGATCGCCAATGCTCAAACTTAAAGCTGCAGTCACACTATAGTATTCTTGGGTTAGCTGAGGTTAAAGTTGTATATAATACTATACTTTATAACCAACTATAGTCATACTATTAGTTGTTCATTAGTATTTAATAAAGTTTATTAACCAATTTAGAACTGGTATGTGCTGGTTGTAGATTCTTATGATATCCGCGTTAGTTATTCATTCCCATTAACCTCAGGTGGATATGAATATATCATCTTATTGAGACCTCAAAAATATAAAAACATTGGTTGATGGTGAAAGCCACCATTCTCCCACTCAAACCATTAAATCACCATTAAATTACCATTAAATGACAATTAAATTTTACCATTGAACATCATTAAATCACCATTAGATCACCATTAAATCACCCTTAAAACACCCATGAGAACACCATGAAATCACCATGAAAATCTTAGGATGGGATGGTCTCACCATGATTTTCAACCATCATGGCACACCATGAACAAAATCACCCTGAAATCCACCATTTCGGTGAAATCCACCGAAATATTTAATGGGATTTCATGGGATTTCATGGTGAAATCACTATGAAAATCTCATGAAATCCACTATGATGTCGTTTTTTTCGTTTTTTTCGGTCAGTGATTTCGAGTCACTGCGGCTCCTCACTCTCCTCGCCGTGCTCGCCGTGTTCGCCCGCGCGGCGAGAGTCGCGGCCAAAACGACTGGCATCGTAGCGGGCCTCAGTGGCCACAAGTTTTTTTTTCAGGATGTATTGGATATCATCCAGCAAAGTTACCCTCTGGTAAACTAACATAGCTATGGAAAATCACAATTTTTCATGGGAAAATCCACTATTTCTATGGCCATTTTCAATAGCTATGTTAAATTACCAGAGGGTAAGGACTTAAGGAAAATATTGGAGATTAGATATATCCAGTCTCATAATGTAATAATTATGATTTAAAAACGGTAGACTTGTGAATTGGCTAAAAATGATGAATTGGATCACATCATGCAAAGTTGTGGAACATATTGGATAAGAATGTGTATATATAAAGATAAAAGGAAAAGTATCATCGCAATAATTTATACTGTTAGAATTCGTATGAATTTGTTGGAGAATATACGTGTATATATATATATATACACATAATATTATAAAACCATCATGGGTTATGCACAAGAATCCGTCAAACAAGTTCCATATGATGTTGGATGACTATCAACATTCCAGACCCCACCAAGAAACCATCAGGATCATAGTACCTGTTTCAGTCAGCCATGGTTCAGTCAGACTGACCCAAATTCACAACATCTGATGAAAGAACAAAGTACCAGAAAGTCCCATATCCAGTAGCTTCTTTTGATGTTGGAACCCAAAAAAACAAAATGCTAAGCCAAACGTTTTTCATGTTTTTTCCTAAGTTTGGAACCAACAAAAAACATCAAACTTGTCGGTCTCATGAGGATTTAATCATCGTTTTCGAGGTCCCCACAATTACCAAGGAACTCGTTTCTCCGCGCAGGAAAGGATATCGAAGGCAGCCTTCACCTCTTGAAACTCCTTGTCCGTTCCTGAGCGGATGGGAATCGACTAAGAAATCTGGGTAAAACAATGTCAAGTGCACCACCCATGACTGGGAATGGTAAGTTTATACCACCTATAAAAATGGTGATGACTGGGGGATGGTTTATGGCATTGTTTTACCCACATTACTGAAATTCTTCAGGTAAGTTAAATTGTCATACCACGTCAGAAATCTGGTTTATTTCTGAAATTCACTGACCTGAAAATGGCTGTTTTGGGATAGTTACCCCAATCCCAGCCACCATTCCAGGTTGAGGGAGAACAATGAGGTCGTTGTTTTTTTTTCCCCAGATAAATCATGATACCCTCCGGTAAAAATTGTGATTTAACCATCAAACAATGGTGGTATAATATGATATAATTGATGGGAAGATCATTATATCATAAATATATTATATATATAATGGGGTTCATAGGAAATCCCCAATGGAAGTTTGGTCATGGGAAAATCATCGATCAATTTTTTTGGGATTTCCAACCTCGTGTGATTACCTTAGATTACCGGTATATCAAATGGGAAAGAATCACACTGGTTGGCGCTACCCCTCTGAAAAAATATGAGTTCGTCAGTTGGGATGATGGCATTCCCAATATCTGGAAAGTCATGAAATTCCATGGTTCCAAACCACCCAGCAGCACAGAAAAAATGCTGTCATTTTTCAGATGGGACGAAAAAATCAGCAATATTTGGGGAATTTTCAGAGTCAGTACTGGGACCCACTTGAATCCAATGATTCAAACCGTGATAGACAAACCATAGTGTTCCTGGTCCGGGAGGGTGGTCCTTTGGGGGGAATTTTTCACCTGCAAACGAACCATAACAAAGTGACCGGTTGCTGGTGTAAGCCCACTTGAAGAATATGAAAATTTATGAAAGTCAAATGGGATCCGGGATCATCCAAGAAAAGAGGCACAAGTGATAAATCTTTGCAACAAAAAACTCATATGGGGTTGTCAACCAAGATGTAGGAAATATAAAAATATGGAAATATTGAAATACGGCCTGTTCAGCAAGAGCTACGGTAATATGTTCACAAGTCAGAACATGGGAACTTCAAACTTTTTTCTGGGCCCCACAGCTATGGTTTTTTTTTTACATGGGTGTTTTATAAAAAAACCAGCTGCCCAGCTGGGTTCGAAATATAGCGAAACGTAGCTCAACTCTGACATGACATCATCTCCCAAGCGTTTGGGCTACAATTTGTAGAACACGAACTTCCAAATACCCGGCCTGGTAAACCAACATAGCTATTGAACATGGCCATAGAAATAGTGGATTTACCCATTAAAAATAGTGATTTTCCATAGCAATGTTAGTTTACCAGAGGGTATTCACCTTAAACTTCCCTAATGTGTCTGTATACCCCCAAGAATTTGAATCGGGAAACTGCTCATAAATCGAGCAGAACCATGAGATTTTAGGGTATTCCCACAATTTTCAGGTACTTACTCAACCCAATGATGATATTGTTGGCCAAAAGGATCCCAATATCTCCTGGAAAAAAAAAAACGTAATATCTGGAGGGTTCCGAACGAGTCCTGGGGGGACCCCTAAAATCCTATCAAGTCATCCATCAAGTTCCACAGGGGCCCTGGGCCCCCGTTCGAGCTCGCGTTCAGTTGGTGCGTTTATAACTTATACTTTCACTTAAATAGGCCAAAAAATGATACTTACATATACTTACAACTAAAAAAAATATTCAATAATATTCATGGGTTTTATAAATCAACAAACAAAACTAAAAAAAAACACACAAACAGCACGTAGCACGGTCTCCGGTCTCCTCCTTTGTCCGGGTGGGTCTTCAGGGCCATCTGCCGGTAGGCTTTGATGATCTGGGCCAGGGTGGCCACATCGGAGATGCCCAGCTTGGTGTAGTGACACTGGTAGCTCTCAGCTCGCTGCTCGCAAGCGCGACGTCGCGCGGAAGGGGCAGTTTCAGGCCTCGGGTGAAATGAGGTGCCACCGAGAATTTGGGGAAGTCTGGCAAAATGTAAACTTTAATATATATATATATATAATATATATATATAATATATATATAATATATATATAATATATATATATATGACTTATATTTCAGGATGGAGAATGTGGATTTAAATGATTTTACTATAGATAATTGATAGAATAATTACAAGTTTGCCTCAGAGTGGGGGCTAAAGTAATGGGTATCATGGTGGATTTGGGGGCATACCATACGTTCGATATGTTTGTGACAACCCTGTATTTGGAGAAATGATATTTAATGATATAATTAATGCTTTAACGGATGAAAAGCTGAAGGTTTAGCAGTCAGCAGGATCAACAGGCGCTCAAAGTGAAAGGATCAACAGGCGAAGAGAAAAGGTATAAAACGGTTTTGAATTAGCAAGTTCTTTAGCAAGTAGGCGTGGATAACCCGGCCTTAGTCACTCCGATACAAGTTTTTCAACTGCCGTTTGATAAAATATCAAAGTTCTTGGTGTGACCAAACTGGTCACCATCATGGCAAACGTTAAATTCCTTACAAACAATATGTTACATCTAATTCGCTCTTTAAACGTTTCATGCAGTATTCAATGCATGTACTTGGAACAAATTATGATGTATGATATATCATACATGATATGAAATGATTTATGACAAATATAATGATATAAGGAAGATGTAATCGATGGATCAATGATGAATCACGACATTTTTACGACATATATGATATGTATGACATGTGTGATATGTATGATATGTTTTATACTGGGTTTGTATGGTATGATAGGTATGTGTGATATCTGTAATATGTATGATATGCCATGACATCAGATGATATGAGATCACATAATATGACATCAAATGGATGACATGACAATACGACATATGTTTATGCGTATATATATATATATACGGTAACTACATTTAAATATACGGGCTTGTTGAAATATACGAACAGGTATTTTAGACTAGCTCCGGGAAGGTTTTCCTTGGCCGGCCCAGCCATTTAAACATACGGCATCCAATTCATTTAAACATACTGCAACTACACTTAATATAAATATACGAACTGGTATTTCATACTACCTCCGGGGCCTTGCGGTCTGGCCCGCCCTCCACATATTTAAATGTTGTTACCGTATATATTTATTATCAATCACACAATATGATACCCTCTGGTGAACTAACATAGCAATGGAAGATCACCATTTTTAATGGGAAAATCCACTATAAATGGCCATGTTCAATTGCTATGTTAAATTACCAGAGGGTATCATAAGTGCCTTTGAAAAGGGGGGGGTTCACCATCCAAATGGCCATCAGATCATTGGGAAAATCATCGTCCCAAGATAGCTGAGATTAATGGAAGTTTATCCCACTAAAATTGTCAGGTTTTGACCCACCCTATCACCCTCCTATCATTGAATTAAAAATCATAAAAACATATAAACAAATAATAATAACAATAATAGGTTTCCGCAATAAGTTCGGTAACCATTCCCCTGTGACCACCAGGGTGGTGATGATGTTTTTGCTTTTGACCCAATCAAAAAAAAACGGTAAAAACCAAGCAATCACCCATCAGTGACCCACCATTCACCCACCATTCCCAGCCTCGGTGTCGGACTGGCCAATGCGGTGGCCGAGGACTTGAAGAAGCGCTCCAGCCCAGGCTGCTTCGGCCGCGTGTCGCGACAGGCGTTTTGGGACCTGGCGACAGTGGGATCCCACCATAACATCAATGGGAGATCTTCAGGATCCTAGAATGGAGGTACGTTAGTACCATATAAGGCAATATGTTGTTGGGATATTCCCTTAAGCCTGAAAAATAGGCCTTATATATGGTAGGTACCTGCAATTTAGGTTCCTGAAATTGCCATTGATAACATGATTTTGTCATAGTTTCTCATATCTCATCTGGATATATGGCACATATTTTTTGACATTCTATTCTGGCATTTAGTCTGACATCCTATCTGGCATCTATTTTGACATTTTCTCTGGCATTCTATCTGGCATTCATTCTGATCTTCTATTTGGCATCTATTCTGACGACATTCTTTCTGGCATCTATTCTGTCATTCTGTCTGACATTCTATTTTAGCAAGACAGCAACCTGATATATGCCATATCTTATGACATTCTTTCTGGTATATGTATCTGGCATATCTTCTGACATTTTTTCTGGCATTCTATATGGTATATCTTCAGATATTCTTTGTGGCTGAGGTCCGGCGGGGAACACTTGCTGTCAGGGTCAAGCGGGGAACACTGTGATCTAGCGCTTGCAGTTGAGGTCCAGCGGAGGAAGGAGGAGGAGGGTGAGGAGGAGGAGGAGGAGGCGGGCCAGCTGACATAAAATCTAACAAGCCTCACCTGACAGGTGGAGAAAAAAATATTTATTTACTTACTTCGAAAGAAAGGTGCATGCCCCCCAGCTGGCCAAGAGCACACACCGTAGCTGAAAAGTTCGGCCATTTTGGGATATATAATTACCCCAATCTTAGCCATCTTTCCCAGCAACGTCACGAACGTGACTGTATATACCGAGATACATGGCTGCAAAGTCTATGGTACCGCCCCAGTCAGGATAGTGCCCCAACATATTTTCCAGCCTTATGTTATGTTCCGGGGTTTATTGACCCTCATAAAACCTGAATATCAATCAATGGATTAGGGCCAGGGGAACATCTTTACCCGAAACAAAAAATGGTTTTTGGTCCCAAATCCAAGTGATTCTCGGTGTTTTGGACCTATTGGACATCAGCTATTATGTAATCCATGTATCGGCTTGTCTTAGACATTTCAATGGATATTATATATGATCATAATCATAATTTTCCTATTCATTAGAGAAAGTCATAGTCACTCTGGGAGATACCGTGTTTTCAGAGATACCCATATGGATACTTAGTAAATAATGTAGCTGTACAATGGGAATCATAGTGAACAAATATGTCTTTATCGATACTTAGATATACTTAGTAACTATATCATCGGGTTAATTACTATCCCATTCCCATCCATAAATAATCCATCATAACTAGTAATTATAGACGATTAAACCAAAAACAATGCTATTTTGCTGGCTTTGAGTACTATCAAAAAAGCTATTCCTATCATCAAACCAATCCCCATCCCAGCCATACCTGGTGTTTGGTCTGCGCTTCACTTCGCGCACCGCTTCCGCTGGCGCTTCAGCAGCCGGAGCTGGAGCTGCTGCTGGGCTTTCCACAGCCGGCTCGGTGTCCTTCATCACCTCCTGGGGAGAATCCAATGAGTTGGTGTTCCTCCAGACCGACATGCAGAAAAAATGTTGTTATCAATTATTGTATATATAATGTATTAATAGTGACTAATAATGTATGGTATTCTCATATTTATATATGGATTATCAATTCTATATCAACATGATTATCCCATATTTAATGTATCTTTTGTATTTACTAACGTTAATGGAGTGTTCATGGTATTTACTAACGTTAATTAGCTGGTGTTGACCACACCATTTTTTTTGGCTCCCAAGAATCGGTGAAGTAGGGGCTTCAGCGACAGGGTATGATGAAGTATGATGAGGCGACAGGGGCTGTGATGGAAAATCGAATAAAATAGGATAAAATAGGATTTTTAATAGGATTTTTCATAGGATATGAGATATATCCTGAATGGATTGCCACTTTCTTTGGGAGTGGCCTTCAACATGCTTTAACCTTGATGAGAATACCCCTGTTGCTGGTTCAACCCGCGCAACCGGCCTCGATGATCTTGTCGCATGCCGCTCTGTGGACCGAACGAGTGTTGCCCTGGCGATGTGGTGCAGAAAGGGCAGAAATCCCAAAAAAATGCGGATATGATTGGGATATGATCGATGTTATATAGCAACCCCAAAATGATAGAATAATTATGATCTACAGTATGAGTGTTAATGATGAATGTCATATCCCCAAAATATTATGAAAAGTAGAATGTCAAGATGATGATAATCTTGGGGATTTTAGGAGTGCCCTTTTTGTGGAAACACACACAGACACACACTTGAAAGACCTACGTCCCTGATGAGTGTTGATGCACTCTGGCAATATCGGAAATTGGAAATGGTCAGACATCAAAATGTCCATTCTTCATTGGTCACAGCCATATTTTCGTGAGTCAAATCACGATTTTGTCTGATGAATCCCATTTATCCCATATAGATCGCCATACAAATCCCATCTAAGTCATGCAAAATCATCACCCCAAATATATAATATAGGGGTTTCCTAAAATGGGGATACCCGTTTTCATCATCCTAATTTTATTTGATTTTTTCCCATAATAAACCATCCAGCGAGCTTGGGGTCCCCACATTTATGGAAACTTCCATATAGATGTGTACAGGATGGTGCCCCCCAGTTATAAGTTGGTTTATAAACACCATTATAACATCCATTAACTATCGTTATATCTACCATAAACCATAGAATTCAGCCACTTATGTTCGACAACTTGCCCTCTGGTAAACAAACATGACTGTGGAAAATCACCATTTTTGATGGATCAATCAACTATAAATGAGCCATGTTCAATAGCAAACTGTTAGTTTACCAGAGGGTAAGCCACAATTTCACCATAAACCATAGAATTCAGCCACTTATTTTAGACAACTTAGCCACTTGTAACTCCAATTTCACTATGGTTTTTGTTGGTGATACCCTCTGGTTATTTAACATAGCCATGGAAGCCATTGCCCATTTATAGATGGTTTACCTATTAAAAATGGTGGATCTTTCCATGGCCATGTTAGTCATAACCAGATGGTATAATATATGACCATCATTTTCCCATCAAAAAACATCCATTAAAAAAAAAAAACAGTACTAGTATATACAGTGGTGGTATAGGGGTCGTAATATTGGCTCGCTCCTTGAAGGGCATCCATTGGATCCGGTCTCTGAAGCTCTCCGGCGCCAGACTCAGCACCTGGCGATCCGCAGGAGAAAAAAGGAGAAGCTGTGGAAGAAATCCTGCCCTTTCTTGAATGGTTGAAACCCTATATATATAATATATAATATATAATATATATATATCCATACATGTATACATATATATATGTGCATATATACATTATATATACGTATATATATATATTTATATATCTATCTACAAATAATGGGACAAAGAACCTATGAACTGGTGCAGAATTTCTTCCATCAACAGTATCAGTGTATCAGCCATTCCAGTAGATGACCTTCTGAATCATTGGACTGGTGACGCAGGCAATGTTCTTACCCTCTGGTAAACTAACATAAATATGAAAAATCACCATTTTTAATGGGAAAACTCACTATAAATGGCCATTTTCAATAGCTACGTTAAATTACCAGAGGGTAGGTTTTTTCCCTCAGGTTTGATGGTAAACTCCATAGTTTCCTGCATTGTTTCCCATCAATCATCCCACTGATAGAGGTGACAAAGTGGTACCTAGACAACCATGGTATAGACACATGGTATGTGTCTGAAAAGTAGCCAAAAAAAATCTGGCCCTTTTTTTCGAGCACGATGATGATGATGAACCCCACCTTCATGAACACCCAAAGGTTATATTGAATATATCAATCATACAATGTGAGGCCCCCCAGTGATGTTTGTTGGTTATAAGCCCCAGTAACTATAGTTATAAATACCATAAACCATAGTTATTGGAGTTATTTGCACCAACTTAGCTATCTTGGGGGCCTCACATTGTAACAAGCTTCAAGGGAGATCCCAGTAAACCACGAGCTTTGAATCTGTCGGACAATTTTCACCAATCGATGATCTCTTGAGGCTCAAATTCGGACAGCATGACCGACAGCGGGGCTAAACGGCTAGTTTCACCACTACTTGGTGGCTCATCCCACGGCTCGTAAGTGGGTTATAACCCCAGTTATTTCAGTGGATTAACCCTACTTGTCCCATGTAAATCACTGGGGTTATAAACCACAAAAACGAGCCGTGGCCAAGTAGCATTTCTCTCTGATCCATTGATCCAGTGCACCACGTGCACTACATGCCCACCTGGCTCTTCAGCTCTTGGAAGGACTTTACACCACCTTTTTTGTTGCCTCGACCAAGTGGCCAACTGACCTCTGGACTTTGATATCCATGGGTGCGTTGCCGAACAATGAACTGGGGGATATGATCGTTTGATCATGTTTGATAGTTAGTATCCCCAGCTTTCTTCCGAACTGAGCAATAATTATAGCTTATATATAATTTACAATTAATCATATAATCATGTCTGGATTTGCATGAAATCACATGAAATCATAGTGAAGTTCAGTTTCAAGCTGAGATTCTCACAAAGTTTCAAACTTTCAACTGGTCCAGTCACCGAAATGGGTCAACCGGTCTAATCCTCAGTGATCACCCCAGTTATGTGTAGGAGATTCGTAGAGTCCATTTATGGGGTTACAAAATCCCAATTGAATATATACTGCTAATAATGGTTAATATATGGTTATAATATGGTTATATAATGATGGTTAATATTAATCTGGTTGGTGGTATACCTGCCCCTCTGAAAAATATGAGTTCGTCAGTTGGGATGATGACATTCCCAACTGAATAGAAAGTCATAAAAGTCATGTTTGGAACATCCAACCAGAAATGGTTACAACTTATAATCCACTTGGTGGTTTCAACCTACTCTGAAAAATATGACTGGAAGTCAGTTGGGATGATGACATTACTGCATGGAAAATCATAATCCATTCATGTTCCAAACCACCAACCAGTTATAACCCACTACCTTCTGGTAAATGAACATAACTATGGAAAATCACCATTTTTAATAGGTAAATCAACTATAACTGGGCCATTTTCATAGTTAACTGTTAGTTTACCAGAGGGTAACTGGGATGAGCCACCAAGTACCTCCATGAATCAATCGAGTGGCTGTCCACGTCGGACAGTTCCATGAGTTTGGCGATCCATTCTGCCTTCCCGAACGCCTCCAATCGCCTCAACGTTTGTGGCGATATTAAGTCGTGGGGGTCCACTGAGGCTATGTGTAAAAGGTATGATCTCATGGAATATTAATGTTAATATCCCAAAGATATAAAATCCCAAACATTAACAATCGAATATTGATTGGAATAGGTTAATATCTTTGGAATCAAACATACATAGCGGGGAAATCCCCGATGTTATTCAAAGATCTTTGCTGGAGAAATCCTCGAACGAAATGGCTGGGAGTTTCCAGCCCAGAAACTGATCACCGGAGGATTTCCCAGAAACTGTGGCTGTTCCCAGAAACGGAAAAACAAAAAACGTCCATCGGTTGGTGGTGCAATAACCCCAGTTGTAGGGGATTTGCAAAGTCCATTTATGGGCTTACAAAATGGTTAATTACAACTTATAATCCACTTGGTGGTTGACCTACCCCTCTGAAAAATGATGGAGTTCGTCAGTTGGGATGATGTCTGACATTCCCAACTAAATGGAAAAATAACATTCATGTTCCAAACCACCAACCACAAAACTTCCATCAAGATCATCAAAGGTGGGCACATACACCACGGACATTGCCCCGAAACTTCACCCGTACGCCACGAACAAAGTCCGTGGAAAGGCCCTAGTTTAACTAGTTTGGGCCTAAGAAAATCTTCCCATTACCCTCTGGTAAACGTTTACAGAACTATGGAAAATCACCATTTTTGATGGGTAAATCAACTATAACTGGGCCATTTTCAATAGCTTTTTGTATATTTACCAGGCCGGGTACATCCCCAATGCGACCAGATGCTGCTGCTCCGTGTACGGTGCTCGTGTGCTGCGCGAAGCGCCGTTTTTTCGGGGCGGCTTTGAGGACGCTGCGGGCACCTCTGAGGCAATTTGGAGGGGAGGATATGGCTATTGGTCAAAACCCTGGCACCTAGTGAACCCCAAAATAGCCGGTAAATGGATGTTCATCCCATTAGAATTGATAATAATAGGTTTTGACCCACCCCCATATTTCGAAGGGCACGGCACGATCTTTTTTCTCAACGGGACTTGCATATAAAAAATGCTGATTCGTTGTGATTCAATGGGATTTAACCAACCAAAATCGTGTTTGATATGGGTTTATTACCCGGCAATAACTATGGTTCTGGATGTATTATATATAGATATACGTATAGATGAGGGGGGTTCCTAATATGGGCGGTACCCATGAATGGTTGAGAATGGAAAAGCCAAAATAACATGGATGATTGGGGGGTATCACCATTTAAACGCCCCCATATGGTTTTGTATCATTTCTGTGATTATATATCTATAATATATATATGGTGAAATTCAATAATTTCTGATTAACATGTGTTATATGTGAATTTTATACAACTTCTTATTGTAATGATCACATTGCCTGTGGGATAATGATATATAAAATAAATAATGTCTAATACTGTTGAATGTTATTGCAAATAATTGCAAGCTACTTACTTTATATTAGTAATTATTTGTGATACTATTTCATGACATTAGTACTGTTGATCCAGGGGCTGCTGTGGGTTTATATATAAATATATCAACCATATAATCATAGCACCTTATCTCATGTTGACTTGTTGACATTTGACTACTCAACTTCAAAGATTCGAGAAACTGTTGATGGTTGAAAAATCCTGCACCACCAATTTTGGATGGTTGAATCCCTATGAAAACATGGGATGAACATGGATGAACCACCTATCAACTGGTGATTCGGATTTCGCTGGCCCATCCCACTGTATGATTGGTTCAATTGTGGTATTTGGACCAAATAACCTACATTTTGAATAAATATCTTAGTCAATTGTGGCTCAAAGTGTCGGAATTATGAAATAGATCATCCCCAATTAGGGTTTACTATGGTTTACTATTGGGTATTACATTATATGTAGGATGATTTGAACGGATCTGAAAGGACCCCCAAATGATTATTTTTTTTGGATGATGCATTCTGGGGCTTCAACATCAGTTGGGGTTGGCTCAAAGTTCTTCATTGCCCAAATTGGATGGAAATGGAGATCCCAAAAATGGCTTGGATCACAAGCTCTTGGCACTAGGATATGTTGAGACTTCATCTAGCTAAAATCACCACTTGAACAGTGATAGCACGCACTTTTTATGAACACTTCATCCAACTAAATGCCCTCCACGACTCCACGAATACCCTTTTTTCGGCCATTTGGACAAAGTAATCCAAGTTTGTTTCCAGGACCCAAACCGCGGCTCAGCCGTTGTTCATTTGACTCATTGGATCGCTTCTAAAAACGGTCAACTGGTTCATCCCATCTCAGAAAGGTGCAGAATCTACCCGGCCTGATAAACATTTACATAGTGAACTGGAAAATGGCCTATAAAAATAGCTGATAAAAACCCATGGGATTTACCATGGATTTACCTATGAAAAGCATGCTGGGATCGATCCACTTCGCTTTACGTTAACCGTTGACCAGGCCGGGGTACACCATCTTTTCGTCCCCGATCCCATGATTTCGCTTCGGGTTCTCCGAAGATGAACATGATGAGCCCATGTCAACTCGCCAGTCGAAAGTTCGTGGATGTAGCCAGCTACCCATGACGGATCCATGGTGCTGGTATATATGCTAACATGACTGGGGTATATTGATGGTAAATGTTACCATATATAGCAGCACCATGGATCCTATGGGCTATAAAATGGTGGATCTTTCCAGTTCGCTGAATGTAAACATTTACTAGGCCGGGTAACCATCTGGTTGGTGGTTGAACCCTACCCCTCTGAAAAATGATGGACTGAAAGTCAGTTGGGATATATGATGACATTCCCAACTGAATGGAAAGTCATAAAAGTCATGTTCCAAAGCAGTACCCCAATAATGAGATGGTTAATACTGAACATATACCGGAATCTGTGGTCCCATAGGGCTTGAATTTTGACCCATACCTACCTGGTACTATAATGTAATTACCAGTAACAATATTGGTTTACCATAGCACAAGGCAAACCTATGTCAGGATGGGTCAAGTTACCCGTGAAATTTACCAGACTGGGGGAAGAAACATCCAGCTAAACCAGCTATGACTGGATGGGTACCGTTTGGGTCCCACATTTTTGACTGATAGCCATATCATGCCATATCCAGGTTTGTATGGTTTGTCTAAAAATCTTGGGAAAACCAACCAACAAGTGAATCTGGTTGGTCAATTTTGAGCCATACCTATGTATATTCTCTCCATATATGAACCTATTAACGATTGTATCCCCATTGTTCTATGGATATCTTGGTGAGTTCAGTTCCCATCATGCCGGGCCTGTTCCACCTCCTCAGCTTTTCTCTTCGCCATGGAACGAGACACGAGACGCAGGAAAAGAGCAAAGATGGATGTGAAGGATATTGGAACATATTGGACAATTATAACCCCCCATAACTATGGTTCTGGATGTACAACATGTGTGTGTCACACATGATTGGGGAAATTCATAGAAATTCCCCATTTTAGGACAGCTCCATATTGGACCATTCCCCCCAAAAAATGGAAACAGTAGCTGGATTTTTTGTCGGAGGACTTGTTGTTTCCGACCTAGCCATGGAGGTATATTTTGGCTGGGAACATCATCGAAAGATGAATTTCCAATTTTTGAGCAACCCCCAAATAAAGAGATTCAAAATTAAGCAATAGTGGACCAGTTGGTGTTTCAGGATTGCTGCTGAACACTGCTCAAGCAGCAGATGTGGTGCAGAATGGCGAGCATTCAAGACCATGGGCTTTAGGCTTTAGACATGATGAAACATATTAAAACGTGAACTAGATCTAATGTGGTAAAGCCAATTCAACCATGCCAGGGTTTCCTTTTGTAAAAACTGTTGGCTTAAACTATTTGGGTGTGTATGGAAATGGGGTCTATCCATGTCTATCCCCCAAATGAGGATAAAACACGAAATAGAGGTGTTCCAGTTCGTTATGTAACAGTTTACCAGAGGGTAGTTGATGATTGGGTCTACCACAACATACCACCACCAATTGTTGGGTACACCATGTTCAGACAAAGCCAGGAAGACCCACGAATCAAACATGACTGAAAGAGGCGAATCTGTCCCACCTGGCAACTCGCAGAGGGACTCAACGACTCTCCTGCATCAAAGATTACCCTCTGGTTATGACTAACATAGCCTTGGAAAGATCCACCATTTTTAATTTCTATGGGCCATCTATACCATGGCTATGTTAGTCATAACCAGATGGTATTGTTTGAGGGAAGATGACCTGGAAGTTCTTTCATGTTGACCTTATAACTATATAATTCATGTGAATTCCACGTATAGATGTGGCCGATCATGGCTATCACAACCATAGTTAATAAACCATAGCGCAGCAAGACCTCCATGCAGAATTCCAGGCCAGGCAGGGGGCTTGAAAAGATTGGTTTTTTCCCCAGTTTTCCCAGGAAGTTCCAAGGGGTTCTAAGATGTTTCCAATTTAATGTTTGCCTCTGATTAGAAGCCTGGTACCCTATTGTGAGAAATTTCTTGCTCCTAATTCAGTAACATGCTAATTGTTGGGGGGGAGCCTCTATTGTGAGAATTTTTTTCCAGATGTTTTTTTTCAACTTTTATTTTTATTCCAAATGCTTTAAGGTTGTTTTGAAATGAATTAATTTATTTTTAGTTTTAGTTCATCTATTTTTATTTTATTTTTTATTTTTACTTTTTACTTTTCTATTTTAATTTTATGTTTATTTACTATTGTTTCATTTTTTTCATTGTTTCCTTTAAAACCCTTATTAGATGCCTTATTAAACCCTTATTAAAAAACAGCATCCAGACAATTTTTCAAGGGGGTACCTCATGAGTGGCTCAACTACTCAATAATATAATTGTCTGGATGGTACTCTATTGTGAGCACCCACTTTTGGGAGTGAAAAAAAAATAAAACCCTTTCTCCACCTTTCTTTGGCTAAAGCTGGCCC